GGAACACTCACCTTGTCTTCTCTAGCAAAACTATTACAAGTGCAGTGTCAGTCTGCTGGGAGCCAAATTGGTCAAAAGGCCTGAGTTATATTTATACTGAACTCCCTGACGTTACTGATAATATTTATCAGTTAAAAAAAAATACTCTGTCACTGTCTTGTGTTTCCTTTCTGCCTCCTTTTCAGCAATACCTGCCTAATATTTATTACTTGTTTAGGAGCTTCACTCTCTTTATGGGTTGATTTAATCATGGTAAAAGTATAGTAAATAATTTTTTGTCAGTTTTTAAGGGTGTTATCATGTTGATTTTGGAAAATTGAATAGTTCCATTCTAGGTATGGGGTTTATTTTGATTTTTTGGATTTAATAGCATTTAAACTTCAGTAGAAGTGAAAAGTATACTAGGATTTCAGTGAAGATTCTAAAATGGCAAATCACTACATAGAGTGGATTGGTTAGAATTTTTTTGGCAACAGTTATTTAGATTTCAGAATTCAGAGTTGCTGTAATCTTTGCATAGAAACATATCTGATGCTTTTTTAGCTTAAAAGAAAACTTTTAGAAATTATTTGTAGTGAAATTTTGTAAATTTAAATATGTCTTTAAATTTTGAAAATAAAAGAATGTATGGTCTTTCCTAAAGAGAGATCTTGGTAGAATGTCACATGGACAGCTCCATTCTTGCAGTTCATCAGTACTTGTGCTGGTTATTTGTTCCCCACAGTCTGGATGCTGTTGATTCCAGAAGAATCTTAAGCCCCGACTTTTCCTGGATTTAATGCCAACAATATTGCAGGATATCACTCAGATATTGTTAAGTTTTTGTTACTCTGAGTCCATTAAGTAGCTGTCTAATCATTCCTTCGTGTTTCTGTGGCCCCCAGGGAAGGATTGGTACTTGGTGCACGTGTCCCTCACTGTGACAGACGTGAACGACAACGTCCCCGAGTGGGCCATGGAGCCCTTCCCGTTCCTGGCTGTGGTTTCCCCTGAAGCTCCAGGAGGTACTGAAGTGTACAAGCTGCTTGCTGTGGATGCAGATGAGGGGATCCATGGAACTGTGGAATATTTTCTCCTGGAAGGTAGGTTTTAACCCTCCCATTCCCCATGTATTAAGCTTTGCTATTGTGACTTTTTTGTCTTTTATCCTCAGTTTTGTTAGTGAAAGACCTTCCCTTCCTCCTGCAAAAGGTTCATAAGCCTTCAGCTTTGTGTGTGAGAAAAATCAGCTTTTATTGAGGGTATGGACAGATTTCTTTGCAAAGTTGGGTTCCTGCCCATGTTTTTCCCTGGGGGATGATGGTGACTGGAGCAGTCAGTGCTCCCAGGGCTTCGGTGGGGGGTGGCAGTGGGGCCTGCCTGTTCATGAGATGAGACAGGATGTGGAAGGAGCACAGTAGGTTGGGTGGAGAGGAGCATTAATGTTACTGTCCCTTGCAGCAGTCGTGCTTCTGGTTCATCTCTGACAAAGTTTTGAAGGTCTGGGTTGTGCAGAGCTGTGACAGACTCATTGATCATTTTTTCTGTGTGTCTCCTAAACTTTAGTAATAGTTCAAAAGTATCTGAGCAGAAGGGGAGCAGCAATACCCCTCCAAAGATGGATTTGTTCCTCTTGGCCAGGGCTTCAGTAGGGTGTGGGATATTTAGGGTCAAACAACAGCAAAGTATTAGAAGATAAAAGAAGGATGGAGAGAGGCTATTTATTTACAAGGGCATGTAGTGACCGGACAAGGGGGAATGGCTTCACACTGACAGGGCACAGGGTTAGATTAGATATGAGGAAGAAATTCTTCCTGTGAATGTGGTCAGGCCCTGGCACAGGTTGCCCAGAGAAGCTGTGGCTGCCCCATCCCTGGAAGTGTCCAAGGCCAGGTTGGACGGGGCTTGGAGCAACCTGGGCTGGTGGAAGGTGTCCCTGCCCATGGCAGGGAGTGGAATGAGATGAGCTTTAAGGTCCCTTCCAATCCCAACCATTCTATGATTCTGTGGTACAGAAGAGTGGCTATTGTTCAGAGAAGTAAGATACAATTCAGAAATATAACCATGAATATAATGATTTCTAAGTTCTAAACAAACTTTTGAACTTTAGTGTGCATGGTTATCCTAAGCCAAAGCCAAGTGGGGAATTGATACCATGTTTTCCTCCTTTTTAGTCAAGTAAAAATGCTGTTGCTAAGAGCAGCTTTTGGACCTGTTTTTAGGTGGTGAAGACAGATTTGAAGTTGAGAAGGACTCTGGCTGGATTAAAACGACAGGTTTGCCGTTGGTGAGGGACAAGGAGTATTTGCTGACTGTACTGGCAGCAGATAAACTTGGAAGCAGAGGGTCTCCAGCCTCTGTTTCTGTTCTTGCTGGATTTCGACCACCACAGTTCACCAACATGTCATACTTTGTGCATGTCCCTGAGAGCACACCACGAGGAGAACCGTAAGTAACAGCTCAAGCACTGCTGTGAGGTTGTGCTCCAAGTTTGAACTTCTCTTTGATCTCCCCAAAGCCCTCATACTGATTGTGAACCGTAGTAGATACTGTGAGTAGCAGTTTAGTCTTATTAGAGGTGATCAAGATGCAGTTTAATGCTGTATTTTTTCAGTTATCCTTTTATAGAGAGAAGTGGTATTGAAGAATTGTGGTTCCTTGCTTTTTGAAATGCTGCTGAAACAATTAGAAGATGTTGGTTGTGTCCTAATTTTTAAACAAAATGCAGAGTACAAATTAGTACTGTTCCATCGTGAAGAAAGGTATCCTGTGTGAAAGAACACAATAATTTTATGTGTCAAATTCGGAGAATTGAGTTCTACAGAGTGAAAATTGGAAAAAACAAAAGACTTGCTCTCCTGTCTTCATCACAGTGACAAACTGAGCAAAAATGAAGATGTCATAGAGCTTGTCATCTTATTTTTCCATCCTTTGTCTAACCATGTCGATTGAAATATCACAGAAAATGTTAGTCCTGTAGATCCACCTGAATACTCAGTCCCTTCTTTGATGAATTGTTTTTTTTGTTACAGCAAATATTTCTTCTTTCACGTGAATTGAAAATACTTTTGTCCAGTAAATGTCTTCCTTCTGTGACAATTCAACTTTTTTTTTATATTACATTATCTCTGTTGTATTTTAACTGTTCGATCTACAACATTTAGTTTTACAGTTCTGAATAACCAAGGACTGTTAAGATAAAATATTAATAGTAGATAAGGTTTTTCTTTAAAACTACAATAAAATTAAATTGCACAGGCATAAAAGGAGTTCAAGAACTGCAAAATACTACAACATCTAACAGGTACCTGCAGTCTTAGGAATTAAAAATAAATAAATTCTTTATAACTGTTTTTATCACTATTTAGAAATAGGTTTGCACACCTAAGATAGCAGATTAGTCAGTTGGTCACATTGCTTGGTAATATCCAAAAGGAATTAAGTGTTTAGTGTGGTTCTTACATCAGAAAATCTTTGAATATACACAGTGCACCCCATGAAAGTGGTTTCTGTGGTGTGTTGACCAGAAATATCCCTGAAAATCCATTTAGAATCCCAAAGTTCTCATATTTAAATTGGACCAATCACCCAAATATGCAGGAGAACAGAGTTGCTGTCATGCACTGGATGTCTGGGCTTAGGATTTCCTAATTACAGGCTGATTTAAGGCTGGGGCTGAGCAGAGGAGCATTACCAAATCTCCCTCTTCCTTTGGTCTGCCACTGGTGCTAATCAGCTCCAGCTGCATGGGCAGGCTGAGCCCAGAGAATACAAAGCCAAAAAAAGGCAAAAAGCTTTTCAGTTGGGTTGTTAAATGTGCTCCCAGCATGGCCTCGTGGCTTTCAGTGCTGACAGGAGAGGAGAGATGGCGTGAACTCGAAGTCAGGGTGGGGAGCTGGAAGGAGGGCAAAAGAATTCCTGGTGGCAGGAATGCAGCCGTGCACTGGCTGAAACTGCCTGTGAGACCACATCACTGGAGAATACAGAAGGAAACTCCAGTGAGAGAATGACCTACAGGAATGTTTCCCATTGTTTGTAGTGCACCTGAGGGAAGTGAGAAGGCAGCACCATGGAAATACAAGGGGGGGGAAAGGAGTTTGCACAAAATGAGTCTTGTCTTACTGACTGTAATTGTCACAGGATCAGACATGGTGGTGGGTTCTCCTGGGAGATGGAATTCTTTTTCCTAAGAAACCCGCATGATAAGGTGACAGACACTTGGAGAGTTAATATGCTGGTTTAAATGTCTTTAAAAGTACTTAATTTCTTCTTTTACTTCATACTGTGGGTGTCTCCACTTGAAGGCTTTAAACACATTGGACTTCAATGGGAAAAAGACAGGAGCTAAAAACATATGTCCTGTGTAAGCTGTGACACCCACACTGTTAGGGCCTGGCTCTTATCCTTTTGCAGTTATCTGTTGGATCTTCAGGGGGTTATGACTGCAGCAGCAAACTTACTGTGCTGATATTAAAATGAATCTTTTTCATCTTGCTTTATCTTTTAGCTTCCTGCCTGAAAACCATCACTGCCATAGAAGGGAAGTTAGAGTAGGCAAATTCAGCTGCAGCAAAAATTAAATCCTCTGCTCCTGTGTTTTTAATCCTTACTGTGTTCTGCTTCCAAGAATCCTGTCTTTATCTGTTTAACCCCAAGGTGATAGAACCACTGTGTAACAAAATGTTTGAATTTGGTGTTTAGATACAGCTGTCACTGAGTTCAGTGAGGATAGCTCAGAGCAGACCTACAGGGTTGCACTATCATTTGTGATATGCATGGGTTTTGTCATATTTCTCAGAATATTGTATTATATGCTTGAGTTCTCTCTTTTTATTTTTTTTTTTAATGCAGCTTTCTTACAGTCACTGCTGTGTCATATCAAAAGAAATCCCTGAGCTACAGTTTACTCACTAATCCTGGTGGTCTATTCAGTATTGATCAGGCAACAGGAGAGATCAGTTTAACTCAGAGTGTGGATTATGAAAGTGACCCACACCAGTATCTTCTTTTGGTCAGAGCAGAGGAAAGTGAGGAACAGTTCAGCAGTGCTGCTGAGGTAGGTGCTCCCCTCTGGCAGCCTGTGTGCAATTCCATTTTCCCTCATCCTTTTGATTTCTGTACAGACTCACCAGGAGCTCCCATTTCTGGCTGTTCTGCTGTTCTTTTCAGAAGTCTTTCTGTCTGTGGGTCGATGTTGAGGACTGGTTGAGGTACTCTTAGAGTTCACTCTTGCAGATGCTTTAAAAGTTGTTTATGGGACATCAGTATTCCCTCCCATCACAGATCCTAGGCATTATCTGGGAAAATGTGGAAACAGATGCAGCCAATCCAGACATGAGGTTTTGTCTTACTCTAAACCTTCATACAATGTGATGTTTAAGATTTGTTTCAGTTTAAAACAAAGACACAACAGAAAATTATTTATTTTGTATCAAAACTACAAAGTGAACTTGTAAAAATGAAAAGTACTAAAAACTCATAGAGATATTAAAAAATTATGGTTTGTGGTATTTTGGAAAGCTCTTTGAGAGCAAAAATATTTCCAAATATAGTTATTACACTTGTTTGAATTCATGGATTCACTGAGCTGGGAAAAGCATGCAGTATGAGTTTGTTCCTTTTGCAGGAGACAGAATTATTAGGGACAAGTGTGAGGACACAGAGCCAGGGAAGCAGCATGTCAGTGTAACAAACACTGGCTGTAGCACACCAGAGGTAATAGTTTCTATTGACCCTGTAATGTACTACAAGGTGGAGGGTGGCAGAATATGACTTGAACGAGGATTATGAGATGATTTTACAAATACATTTAGCCTGAATGTAGTTTGACTTGTACCTACTTTACACTGATACAACCTCAACACTGAGAGAGAGCAACTCTAGTTTGTGCATATCTGCTCTGTAAGGCTGGGTGGAATACAGCTCCACCTGTTGCTCTGTAATGCAGAATGCCCCAAGCAACTGCAGAGAGCCTGAAGTGCAGCAGGATGAACGGCCAGACAGGCTAATTTACACCCTCCTTACTGTTCAGAGTGTAAACAATGCAACTGTGGACTCATACTTGACACAGGAACAAGAAAGCATTTTTAAATATGTTAGAAGCAAAACTGTATTTCTTTCTTGGTTTACCAGAACCACAGAATATTCTGAGTTGGAAGAGACCTATAAGGATCATCGAGTCCAACTCTTAGCCCTGCACAGGACACCCCAGGAGTCACACCATGTGCCTGAGAGTGTTGTCCAAATGCTTCCTGAACTCTGTCAGGCTTGGGGCTGTGACCACGTCCCTGAGGATCAGTTTACATCTGATTTGTGCTGCTCTAATTGAATTCAGAACTTGGTCTTGGGGAATTTTACTGCTAAAATGTAATATGCTTGGCAGCAGAGTTTTTAGTGTTACGAATCACAGAAGTGGTGTAAGATAAGATAATGGAAGGAGTGTGCTTGGCTAGCAGATGGTCCTTTTTCCTTTAAATTAGTAATGGGGAATAACCAATGGAGATGAAGGGTGAGTAAGAAACATTGCTGCAGGGGCTGGGACTTGGCAATTCCTGGTATCTTGGAATGTAATATCTCTGCAGAAAAAGAACAGTGTAAGAAAAATGGTTTATCCTGTGTGCTGTAGCTGTTGAAGACCTCAAGGATGTTTTTGGGAAATTCTTCTACATGATATGTCTAGAATACTGAAGCTGTTCCCTTAATTCACTTCCCTGTTTAACATTTCCCTCTTCTCCACTAAGGTTTTGGTTGTAATCACAGATGTGAATGATTGTGCCCCCGAATTTCATCAGTCTATTTACAGCAAAGTCGGTGTTCCTGAAACAGTTCCTATGACAACTGCGCTTCTGCAAGGTCAGTAATCCTGAAACCATTTGTTACATTGAGCGTATTTTTTTTCCCCTCCCCCTAGTTAGAATTCAGTTCAGAGGCCAAAATTACCTGTCCCAGCATGGGTGGTTGCAGCTCTCTGAAGGCAAATGGCACCTTGTAGAATTGTGTCAGAGTTATTTATTACTGCCACAGCCCAAACAGTTCTGGGGGAGGGGGAGACGAAGGAAAGAGATGTTCTCTGTAGGATTTTGAAGTAACAGAACTTCGGTTGTGGTTGGTATTATATCAGCAGGCTCAGAGTAGCAATCTTGCTGCATTTCTTGAGGGAAGAGAGTGATATTGGATCAGAAATTAGAGACACTTCAGCTCACCTTCTCTACCCATCTCTGAGAGTGCTTTGTGGGCTTGATGTAGGAATTCTACTCTCTTGCATTAAAAGCTTTATATACAGTTTAACTGTTCTGTGTGAGGTTTTGTTTGGATGCTTGACAAAAAGACTTTGCTTCTTCCCAGCGGAACCAATAACTTAAGCTTAAAGTGATGGTGCTCTGTAAAATGTAGCAATAATGCAAATTTTTGTCAACTAAGCAGTTGTACAAGGACCTTGTATTAGTCTTTAACCCTTACATAAACTTTTTTCTAAATCTTGAGGGGGGAAAAGGAAATTAAATGACAGGAAAATTGCCTTTTCCTAGTAAACAGGATTTTATAACCTCCTACTGTTCTGTTTAGTGATTTATCCTGTACTGATGGTAGTTAGTTACTGTTCTGGTAACTGTGCTTTTAGCATGGATTTTTACAGGTTCTTGGATAGGAACTGACAAGCACATAAGGTGCATCAGTTGAATAATGTATGTAAATATTCCATCTTTAGTTACACAGCGTGGGATCTGTTTGAGTGATCTGAAGTCAGCACTGTGGATCAGGTGGACACGAGAATACACATCTCTGTGTGGGAATGTGTTCTTGATAGCACAGGGCTCTTTAAATCCACCAGACAAAGGCATGACTAGTGGCTGAATTCAACTGGGGACTTCACTTTTGTTTATTTCTAAATGGCTTGTTTTCAGGTAAGGGCTAGTTCAGTAAAAAGCACAGGGGAGAGCACAGTTTTATAAACGATTTCAAGCATCATGTGCCAAGGCAGGGCCTACTGCAGTAGTAGTTATAGCACTTGCATTCCAATTCACTGACTTTGATCTACACAATGTCCCTTTCTTTCAATAGTGACAGCCACTGACTGTGATTCTGGAGAGAATGCCCAGTTGCTGTATTACACTCTGAGTCAAGACTTTGGCATCACTTCTCATGGCACCATTTTCCCAGCAACACGGCTGGACTACGAGAGACCCAACCACCTTTATGAGTTCATCGTTATGGCTGTAGATCAAGGGCAAGAGCCAAAGACTGGGACAGCAACTGTCAGGATCCACATCTCAAATGTGAATGATGAAGCACCCGAGTTTTCCCAGGCAATGTAAATACATATTCTTCAAACTCTGTTATCTTTGTCATTTACTGTTGCTTTTTGTATTTTGGTTGATCCCAGGGTGGTGGCTGGCTTTGGTTGAGTCAAATCTGAGAGCTGGACTGACAAATGGGGATGATATTTTCACTCTGAGACTCTCTTACTAGCAGGAAAAATAAAAAAAGGCAGTATATGGACAATCCCTTTTGACAGATCTTGCACTTATATTTCTTCCAATGTGTACTGAAGGGTAGGGTGCAGTAGTTTCAGACTACATTTCAAGAGGACCCCTCCACCACCAAAGGAAATCAGGCAGAAAAAACAGGCAACACAGTGTTTCCCTCATCCAGAGACATGGGGGAATTTTGCCTTTTAATTAGGCAATTTAAACTTAGAATCAGCAATGTGCATTTCTGGTTTATAGTTGTTAAAGAAAAATGCTTAGGTGACAGAATCCTAAATGACCAATGAATTATAAAACACACAAGATAAATGCCAATAAGTGGAGTTCACTTAATTTCACTTAGTCCTATGCCCTACAAACAGTATATATGTATTTTTTTTTCCTTCTAAAACATCCATAAGCGCTTTTCTTCCATAGCTGGGGCTCAGAAACATCTGAAGCAATGCCAAAAGTAGTGTAAACTTGCATTCATGTTAAAGACTTAGTAATGGAATTTCCAATCAGCTTCTGCATCAGCCTTCTACTCTTAGAAGTTGCTCAGAACAAAACCGAGGCAGAGATTTCAGTGATGTTAAGCTTGAGGTTTAGCTGAACAAAACATCAAAGCTTTCTGACAGTGCTTGTTTTATGTAAAGATGACCTCAGTCTTCAAAATCTTGTGCCCTCTTTTCTTTTCTCAGCATTGCTTTGGAGATACAGCTTGGAAAATTTGATCTTTTGTAATTTCTTATTGGATCTCTCTATATTTTCAAACACTAAACCAAGTTAAGTTTCTCACTCTTCAGCTGATGCCTGTTTTTCATTTATTTATGTGTTTTAATATTCAGAGTCAACAAATATTTATCTATATCTGTTCCTAATATTTTATCACAAGTGAGTGATGCCATTAAACGTGCTGTAAACATCTCTAGCAAATTGGTATCAGAAAATATAGTTTAAGAAAAAAACCCCAAACCCTGCAAATTAGTATTTAAAGTTTACTGAAGAATGTGATTAAAATTAACATTGTTTTAAATGACCAAACATTTACAAGAAACTTTTCTGTTCTTTGTGCAGTAGCAGGGAAACTGCTGTTGTGTGTATTGTGTAGATTGGTGAATTCAGCTCCTGGGACTCAAATTACCTCACGTGTTTGGTTAACTAGGCTTTGATTTTACTCTGTCTTTCTGTCATGAAAAAAAAATCTTGAACCCAGAGGTGAATTTCAGGTACAACTTTGTTGACGTTTTCAATGAAATAGAATCATCGTGAGCACACGTAAATTAGGGCCTGCTGAGAGACTAGTCTGCAGTTAATGTTATGCTCTGTGGCAGGCTAATACAAATCTAGATGATGATGTTGTCCTTCTAGCCCTTTGTTTAAATAGATTTACAGTCCAGTATAAACCCATGATTCCTTGCCACGAGCTTTCTTTCGTCGCAGTTATTCTTTATCTCAGTTATGAAATGCTTTAGGCTACCACTCCGTTTCATTTTGTCAGTTTTTACTTTCTCTTTTTTAAGAGACCTCCTCTGAACTCTTCTGTCCCTGTATTTCATGTTAAAAATTATCAGCATTACTGTTCATTTGCTTTCCAGATGCAGAGTTAAGACAGTGTCTTGAGGGTTGTGCCTGAGCTAAAGCAGAATAATTTGCTTCTCTTACTTGGTTGAATATAAAACCAGGGGAAGAAAAGAAACTGTTTCTCTGAAGGTTTCACTGCAAACACATGTATCTTGACAACTAAAACTAAGGGAGAGGTTTTCTTTGCATCCATTTTTCTTTTTCTTTAAATATTTTGCTGTTCTCAGCATATGGCCAGTGTGTCCATAAGCACTCTGAACCCAGTGGTGCTCATGTGTTTGGTTGGATACAGGAGCTGTAGTTCGTTCTTTGGGATTTCTGCTGTGGACAGGTCTGTGGTGTGCTTAGTCTGACCTATGCTCAATCTAGTCAGATAAAATAATAAATATTTGGGACTTTGCTAAAGCAGGGGGCTTTTCTACTCCAGAGAGCTTTAAGCTTAGGCTGATAATGCCTCTTAAAAGCTTAAAATGTCAGTGATGTGTCTGGACTTGAGAAGAGATTTTTGTAAAAGTGACATTATGCACATATCCTCCAGATTTGATTCTCATCTTAGTCATGCTGGGGCAAAGACTACACTGAAGGCATTTTGGGGGCTTGTCTCAAAGTGTGCTGTAACAGGCACTGCTTTAACTTACCAGATGTTTGCTGTGGGTCTGTGAAGCTCATCTTTTTAAATTGAAAAACCCAAGTGACTTCTGCAGTGCACACAAGTCTTCAACAAGTCTGAGCTTCAAAGCCATGGTACTAGTGGAAATTTGCAGTGAAAATCTGTGGGGTTTAATGTCAGAAAGACATGGATGGTTGGACAGATCATCAATACTACTATTTCACTGCTTAACAAAGAAGCATGGTACCACTGTAATTGTATTAGTACTTACAGATCTCTGCAGTGCCTGCCCTCTGAACAGGTAATCAGTAGATGTTTTAAAGCTTAGTCCTCTGTACATTGTTTCCTGTCTAAATTTATAAAGCGCTACCATTTGGGTTCTGGGTTTTTTTTTTTTTTCTTTCTTTTTTAACAGCTACAGGAGTTTTGTTTCTGAAGATGCAGGCTCAAACACCCTGATTGCTACAGTTAATGCTGTCGACCCTGATGGAGATGGTGTGACATACGAGATCCTGTCTGGGAATGAGAAGGGAAACTTTGTTATTGACCCTAAGAAAGGTAATGATATATTAGCTCTTTGCTGCTGCAGTAATGTTGATTCTGTTGTGATGCACCTTGAATTTCACACAATCACGGAACAGAACCACAGAATATTCTTGAGTTGGGAGGGACCCACAAGGGTCATCCAGTCCAACTCCTGGCCCTGCACAGACACCCCAACAACCCCACCCTGTCCCTCAGAGCGTTGTCCAAATGCTCCTGCAGCTCTGGCAGCCTTGGGGCTGTGCCCACTGCCCTGGGGAGCCTGTTCAGTGCCCACCACCCTCTGGGGGAAGAACCTTCTCCTGAGATCCACCTTCTCCTGAGATCCACCCTGCCCCTGCTCTGACACAGCTCCAGCCATTCCCTTTTGGTCTTAATTAGGTAGCTATTATAAAACTGAATAGCATGTGCTATCTTTGAAACTTAATTTTAAAAGGTGCAGGGGAAGGATGCATTAAACTCTTGTTTAATGTTAAAAAAAGATATAATTTCTTAAAAGTTCTGTATAATTGACCTTCTTTACTTATTCAGTGTTTGCTTTCAGTCTTTTAACTTAATAGAGCATTGTTATAGGTAACAGGGAGCTTAATAGACAGTAACTTTATGGAGTATGTTATTATTGATAACAGTGTGATATCCCAAAATGTCAGACAAGGATCTGAATAGCATTTAATATTGGAAACTGGACATTTTGGTTTTTAGATGAGGCTTTCCCTCACTGTGCTATTATGTCTGTCCTGATTACATGTGTGAGCAAACACTTTTTAGCCAAGTTTACTTGTGTTGTACTGACACAAAACGATGCATTTGTAGGTGGAATGACTCTACCACTGTTTTATTTCAGTGAAGGCAAAATTATATAAAATCTGAACTAAAAAAGTGTATTTTTAATTTAAAGACAAAATAATTCCCATGACCAGTGTTATTTAGCCAAGAACACTTCATGCATGTGAAAAAAAAAAATGTGTGGAGAATACTTTTCAGTTTAAGGCATTTGTTCTGAAATACCAATTTTTACATCTTTTAAAGTTCTTTTCAGCAGTCACATGTTTTTAAAACATGAACAGGGGAAAAAAGAAACCACCACATTGGTGTCCTCATTAGAAAAAAATAAATAAGAAAATGCACACCCAACATACAAGTAGGTTGGCATATCCCTTTAAGTTAATAGGATTTATTTGCTGTTGATTGCCTGAAAAAACGAAAGAGGATGTTTTGATATTGAAGCAGGCAAACAAACTGAAATCCCATTGAAGGATTGAATTAACTTAATTAACTTCAGTTAAACTACTTTGTATTTTGAACTTAGAGTTTTCACAGCATAAGCATGGAATATATAGGAAGGCATAAACTGCCCTAAGTTATTCCTTCTCTTTATTTCATGGAGTTCACTTAACATGAAATTTTAATTTCAATGCAATCATGGTTTTGCAATATTAATGTGTAGATTCTGAAATGTTCCCAAAAATACAGTGTGCAGGTAACTTGGAAGTGTTGAAGTGTAATCCTGAATTTATTGTGAGCTCCTTTCTTACTTACAAAGAGAGTGTCAGGTTCCAAGAGTTAAATTTCTAAAGATGCTTTGTCACCTGAAGAGGAACAATGGTTTTGAAAGTGTCTAATTGCCACAGCATTAAGATATCTGACACTTCTGAAAATCGTTTTTTAAAGTGCTCCAAGCATTTGATTGTTGGCATCTCTTGGGATTAGCTCCATAGTTTGAATATAGATAATCGCATATAGGTACGTTTATACTTTTTTACCAATTAATTTTATAGTCTTTGAAACTTTATTTTAGGAACATGAGCATTTTTTCCAAAACACTTTTGGGCTTTAGTTGCTGAATAAACCATTAAAGGTTTATGCAGTGATTTGCAGCAGTTCCTTTTCAGGGACGATGTCAGGGGAATAGTCTGTACCCCCTTGGCAGAAATGTGGAGGTAAAGTGGAGATGTGTCAAAGATAAGCACTGCAGCTAAAACAATACATCTGCAGGCAAACTGAGTGACATTGATGCTGTGACAATCCTCTGTTGTAATGACAATTGCTATTATTCCTGATGAATAACAGAAGTGATGGATGGATGATGGAGCAAAAGGATGACAGCTCCTCACTGCATGGTCTCTGTTTTTGTAGCACATCTCTCCCTGACAGTGCCTTTGTGTCCCACCCAGCAGGGTGTAGCATTTGGGGGAATTATCAGGGTAGCAAAATAAGGGTTTCTGAGGCTGTGCCTCTACAAGTAAATGCTGCTGTGATTGTGCTGCAGGAAGGCAAAGTTGAAGTAGTTTCAGCTGAGCTGTCGATGGCAGCTGCAGCAGTAGATGTGTGACACGTGTGTCATTGCAGTAATGATACAGGAACAGAGCCAGGCTCGCTGGTGGGGCAGGTGCAGGTAAAACACCAGTCTACCACATTGCTTCTGTGTCTTTTTTGGTTTATTTTGCTTTTTTTCTGTAGCAGGTAGATAAAAGCTGTTCTGTGTGGGTCAGCTGAGGTGTAACTGTTGTCTCGTTTAGCTCTGTAGCCATACCTGCAGACATACCTGTTGTGATGTCTTAATTTTGTTTTAATATCACACTGCAGTAAAAACACCATAGTTAAATTAAACTGCAGCAACCTTATGGTTTATTGGTGAATAGGCAAACCAGAGTGGCTTGTTGTCACTCCTACTAATGAGAATAATAATGGTAATTGGTTGATGTAGAAAAAACCCCCACAACCTGTTGTTTTTACAGGGCTAGTTAGACTTCGTTCGAGCCCGTTTCCTAAGCTGCAGGGGACAGAGTATGTACTTAATATCACAGCTACTGATGATAATGCCTCTGGAGGACCCCACCCCCTTACAAGTACTGCCCAGGTTGTTGTGAAAATTGATGATGTCAACAATAACAAACCTGTCTTTCAGAAGGTAAATATTTGAGGCTCGTTGGTTTGTGTTGTACTGTGTGTAATTGTTTGTTTAGCACTGTGTTGTCACTGCAAATGTGCAGCAGGGGAGCTACTCAGTGGGGTTGCTCTGCTTCCCTCTCTCCTTTAGAGTCCTGGTGTATCTGTCTTCTCCATCTTTTCCATCCCTCCCTAAGAATAGCAGGATTTGTCTTCTTCTTGTGGCAGGACAGCTCCTGTGAGCCCTGTGCTCCCTGAACCACACCTCATCTCTGGCATTCCACAACATGAGGCTGTGACACACTTTTGGAGTTTTCATGTGACATAAGAGCAGGAATCAACAGGGATGGCTGTCTGTGCAGTGGAACTGTTCCAGAATCTTCCAAAATGCCTCTCTTAATTGCATAGGCTTCCTCTCATGGGCTGGAACCAGTGAAAGAGAGAAGAATGAGTGTTTTAGCTTAAATAGTAAAGTACTTTAAAAAATAAATGCTGTCATTTGTTTTCAGAATGCTAATTCGTATTAAAGGTCTGTTGTCTAAAAATTTCAAGTCTGATGCTGATGACTCAAATGTTGCTGGACAATGTTGGATATTTTGAAAAGTCAGCAACTATTCATATGTCAGTCTTGGAAATTCTCAGTAACCTTTCCTTGACCAAGTTACTTTGTGTAAAATCTCTTTTTGACCAAAGCAATTCTGCAGTTTGGGCAAGTGTACGCCCTCTTTTTTATTAGACTTTTGCTAATTTAGAAAAATTTTGCATTTGGAAGTAACTGCAGCTTTTTCTCCAAATATTTTTGTTTGTTGGAGGTGCTCAGTGGCCTCATGTTGAGTGTGGTTCATATAACCACAAAATAGCAGGTGAAGTCTGTAAATTAGTGATGATACAGATAAAACATTAACAGCAGTGCATGGGAATGAAGTGTTGCTGTATTGGTTTTCCTTTTTTTTCCTCCTCTGGTGTATCTTTTTTACAGTAATTGCATGGTAAGTTCTTGATGTTTCTGTTGGTTTTTTATCTTCTCTCCTATCTTAGTGCCAGTATTATCGGGAACATGCTTCTGTCTTGGAAAACCAACCTTCAGGGACAGTTGTACTGCAGGTTGAAGCCACTGATGCTGATGAAGGAGCCAATGGTATAGTGAAATATGGCTTGATGCACAGAGATGGTGTCCTACCAGCATTTACTATTCATCCTGACACAGGTAAAACAAATGTCAGAACATTTAGAAACCACTTTGTAACACTGATGGAAAAAAGGCTTAAATAAAATCAGACTTCATGCTTTTTTATTTAGTTTTTTTGACAGCAGATAAAATATAAACTGTATTAACTACATGAACAAGTATTCCATGGAACTAAGTTTCATACATGCCCAGTAATGAACTAAAACTGATGTTTTCCCTGAAATGTGGAAATTCTGCTGTGTGAAGTAACTTGTGTGTTTTTGTAACTGGATTTAAAAAAAACCCCAAACATTATCTTGCAACATTGCTAGTGGCATATAAATGATTTATCCAAGTGACAGTAGTCTTACAAACAGCAAAGGAATTTAGTCTTGGAAGATTGAAAATAAGTTCAGACTGAACTTCTGGAGGAGAGAAGGCATGAAACATTCCTCTACCCTGTACTTACTGCTCTTCAAAGGAAATATTTCTTTAATAAACTCATTCTCCTAAAGTTAGTTTGGTACTTATCTCCATTTTCTAAATTTAAGTCCAGTTGTGTGTAGATGTAACTGAATTTCGTGTCTACTGCTGCAATTGTTAAATCTTGTCATTGGATCCTTGGACCTGAAGTTCATGTTAAAGGTGTATTTGATCTATTGCTTTGTATCTCAGTGTATTGACAGCCCAGTAAACATCTATGTGTAGAATATTGTCAAATGCCTAATATCTTAACTGTCTGGTATTTACTTTGTTTTCAGGAGTTCTGACAACTGTTCAGGTATTTGATCGAGAAAAGCAGAGGGAATATCCCATCACTGTGACAGCAACAGATCAGGCAGCGGAACCACTCATTGGAATATGTCAGATAAATGTTGTCATCCTGGACCAAAATGACAATGACCCCAGATTTGAAAACACCCACTATGAATGTAATTGAGAGTCATTGGATAGAGTTTCGGTGCCCTGAGTGTGAGCTTGCCTGATGTCTCCGATTTTGGGGTGTTTGTTTTCTTCCTGGCAGTAGAATATGTGACAAATTAGGTGATTGCAGCCAGAGATGCTCTTACCTTAACTAGTTGCAGAACTGGTACTCTGTGTCATGTGATGTAACAAGTACAGTCTTGGTTCTTCCTTATGGGAGAATTCCTTGAAGCAATAGCCATGGCAGTGTCTGGTACTGCACAGGGATGGGGAAGCTGCAATAACAGTGTGGGTGTGCAGTGCTGAGCATTAACTGTATCCTTTGTTTTCAGATTAGTAGATTTCTCTCATAGGTTTTGATTGCATAGTTTTCCTTTTCCCATTTGAATTTTGTAATTCTTCGTTGTCTGTTGTTTTACCTTTCCTTGTTGGTTCTTCAAAAAAACCCTTCCTGTTTATGGAAGCAACCCGAGACATGTGTAATATTAAGAAAAAAATGAAGACTGACAATTCTCCATTAGTTATACAGTGCAAATCCTAGAAAGTAGTTTCTGACAATGTGGTCCTTTTCTTCTACTTTTATGCAATAAATTAAAATTCAATTTAAGTATAATACAGAGCAATTAGTCCTTTATTAAAATACAATTCAAATAATTGTAAACAATAAGAATTCCAGTTTATCAATGTGATAACATGAAGTTCAGGTGTGATCCACAGCTCTGGAGTGATAGCAGCCCTTTAAAATACTCAGTGCAATGTGTATGGCCATTGTTCCAAGGAAGATCAAGTTACAGCTTCCATACGTTATTACTTTAGTATTTCTGCATGACTTACTAAGATGTCCATGGTACTTCAGTGAATGAATGATGTGTTTGAAATCTCCTTTCCTTACATTAGATTTCTTACGAGAGGACACAAGGGTTGGGACCAGCTTCCTGCGTGTTGCGGCCCGGGATGATGACTACAGCTCAAATGCTGCCATCACATATTCCATAGCCAACGAAGAACCAAATTACTTTCAGATTAATCCTGCTACAGGCTGGGTGTTTGTGAACCAACCCATATCTCAGGTATGGGGCTTGCTTTCCTTTCTAAGCTGATTATCTCAGTATATCCCCAGGAGGGACTGAGGCCATGAGTTTGTGTTACCCCGTCATGTTAGAGGATCAATACACGGTGTTTAAATTAAACGTGAGTCTAAGGCTTTTAGCTCATGAGTTCATTGACTGTAAACTGCATATAAGCAAACCTTGCTTTCAGCTGGAAAGCAGCACTGCCTCTGAGAATCGGCTATTCCCATTTCCCTGGTTTTGGCATGCTAATTCCAAGGGCTGGAGGGCTGAGATCATAAGCAGGAGAGCAGGAACCCAAGTGTAGGATTTCACTGTGTTAACAGGCAACAATTTCAGACACAGACCTGAGTGCTCCTGATACGGATTCCCTACCTGATTTATGTTAGTTATGGTGGACTAAGTGTAGCTATCCCTCAGGAAGATGAAAGCATAATGAATAAAATTGTTGCATGAAAGATCGATTACTTTGGCCATTTCTAAACATCTGCACGAACAGTTCGAAGTTTTCAGAGTTCTGAAGTAATTTGTGTTAAAATGAAAATGTTATTGTAGATGCCAGTTTTTAAATACCTAACAGATATTTTTAATACTGAAATTTAACTTCTAAGTTACTAACACACCATTTGGTGAAGATGTGTCCTTTTAGTATGTTTTCTTTAGTGAATCCAAGAACCCTGTAGACCTAATAAAAACTTCTTGTAGGTAAGCTTATGAACTCAGGGGCTTCACAAAGTAGGCTATTTTGACTCTGTTTAGGATTTTGTGGGAAATGTACTAAGGTTTATTGAGACACATATCAAAATTTTCCAACAATCTTCAGTAAAGCAAAGAGCAGAATTTTCATCAACTTTGCACCTGTTTAATATTTTAAGTTCAATTGCAAATATTTTTCTTCTGTGTAGGTTTTCTTCTGTGCCTTTTATTTTATGCATCAGTTTATTTTGGAGCCCTGTTCAAAACCTTCTGTAATGAAACCTTTTGTACTCTTCAGAGATCATCTATAATTCGAGAGGTTATTGCTACAGATGGAGGTAATAGGAGCACTAAAGTTGAACTTGCTGTAACTGTTACCAGTGCAAAAAACCAGCCTCCACAGTGGGAAAGAGACAGCTATGAAGTTGTTATTCCAGAGAATATTACACGAGATGCCTCAGTTTTGGTAAGATTGGACAGATTTGTTTGTCTGTGTGTAAGCTCTAAGGCTGTACAGTAACTGAATGTTTTTTGTTTGCTTAGAGGTGGTGAGCTTTTATAAGTTTTGTGATTTGTAGCTGAGTGTCTGGGGGAGTCAAAACACAAAAGCTTTGGGAAATGTTGCTGTCCTTGCACAAGTGTCGATTAAACACTTCATGAACTGTGCAGACAATCAAAGCAACTTCTCCCCTTGGCGATCCCCGTGTGACTTACAACCTGGAAGAGGGACTCGTTCCGGAGACCAACATGCCTGTTCGCTTCTACCTGACTCCAAACAGACACGATGGTTCTGCTTCAATCCTGGTAGCTGAGCCCCTGGACTATGAAACAACAAAGAGCTTTCTGCTGAGGGTTCGAGCACAGAACGTTGCTGCAGTTCCTCTGGCAGCGTTTGCCACGGTCTACATTAATGTCACAGGTGCGTCGGCTGTCCAGGGATGTTACAGCAGAATCGTGCATGTTTTTTCTTTAAGGCTTTATGGTTTTCTCTCTCTGTGCTCTTTTGATGTTTCAGATGTCAATGACAATGTCCCATTCTTCACTTCATCCATCTATGAAGCCTCAGTAATGGAGGGAGCTGATGTTGGGACGTTTGTCATTCAAGTGTCTGCCACCGACCTCGACCTTGGTCAGAATGGGGAGGTGAGGAGGGGGACCTACATCTGCTCTGATGAAGGGTGGGGAATAACTTCTGTGTGAGCAATAACATTGTGTGAACAATGGCTAAATAGTCTGGGAGTCTTCAGCCTAGAAAAGGGAGGACTAATAGGGAAATGTAGAATGAAATAAAGTAGTTTATTACAAGCTTCTCTGTGTTGTCATGTGAAAAATGAAACTAAAACTGGTAGGTGTGAGACAGAAAGCAAAGAGGAAATATTTATACAGCCTGGAGTTTAGGTGAAATATTTGCTGTAGAATGCTCTGTTTTGGAAAGGTCTACTTAGGCCTAAAATGAGATTGGATAAATTAATGGGAGAAAAACCATGTTAAAAACTTCTATGAGTTGTAAACCACTGGGGGTATTGCAAACTGAATCCTTACAAAATATGGCAAGTTAACGCCCAAAGTGGAAGTATTCCTTGCTGATTTAAAAAACTGAAAGTAGGTATATCCTTAGAACAAGAGTGCAATCTGAGGTCAATCACAGAAACATATGTATAATAGAGACTGGAACCAGGCTTTCTTGGCCCTTGTTGAGTTCTCAGGCACAAGACTGTTCTTCCTCTCCCTAAGTACTTATTTGGCTGTGAACTTTCCAACAAAAGGAAAAGTATAGATTAACAACTTCTGTTTAATCCTTTAGATAACTTACTCCCTGTTACATGACAGTGGCAGAGACTACGCCCATTTCCGCTTGGACTCCCAGACAGGCTCAATATACACGGCCTCGGTGTTTGACAGAGAGAAGAAGGGCTCCTACCTTCTGGAAGTCAAGTCAGTGGATGGCTCTGAATCAGCCCGACCTGGAAAACATGGGAAGCCAAACTCTGGTAAGAGACATGTCTGCAACAAGCATGATGTTACCTGGATCGGTCTCTGAAATGCAAGATTTAAGTGTTTTTTTCAAATCTGCATGTGAAAGAGTGTCAGTTGGTTTGGTTTCCGGGATGGATTTTTTACTGTTTGTGCAACAGTTGTGTCACAGGTGGAAGATAAATTTTATATCATCATCAAGCAAGTTTTTTGTTCTGAAATTAAGAGAAAACTAGAGCTTCATATTTAGACTTTAGAGAGAATTTCCTGGCTAATAAAGATGCACCTGTACAGTTCAGATCTTTGGGCAGTGGAAGTGTTTCTCAAAGCACTGCGTGTGTTACTGTATTCAGTCAAAAGTAATTATGAAGTAGGAATATTCAAGATAGAGAATCCCTTTCTTGATTGATCTTCCTGCTTAAATAACGACTTAAAATTTTGTGGCTTCCAGACAAAAAGTTATGACTAAAAACTGTACAACGGCCGTATTAGGCATCAATTATTCATGTATTATCTGTTTAAACAAATTGGATGTGACATTCATTTGATATCCAAGTGCTTTTGAGTAATGTTGGTATATATATGGTCCACAACCCTAAGGGTTTGTTTCTGTATTGTCTGCATATTTGTCTTCATTTAACGTGCAGCGAGACAGGTTAAGGAATTGTAGCTGACAGAAGTGGCACAGCTGAGGGTTTTAATCTCTCGTTCCTCGTCTCTCTAGACACGGCCTATGTGCGTGTTTCCATCAGTGATGTGAATGACAACGAGCCTGTCTTTGCTCAGAGTGTCTATGAGGTAAATGTGGATGAAGACCAGGATGTGGGCTCCACTGTTGTCACAGTCAGTGCTAACGATGAAGATGAAGGTAAACTATTGGAATTCCCCACAGCTGTGTCTGAAATATTCATGAGTTAATTTCAGCACACCAAGACATATTTAGTGGTGTTAGGAAGGAAATGTCTTTCTGTCCCACATTTTAAAACTTATTTTAAGTGTGAGCTGATCAGGCATGAATATCAGTTCATAATGGAGCTGTGAGGTGTAATCTCTTATTTCAGGAGACATGCATTAATGTGGGATGATATGGAATAATTTCTGTGCCAGAAAAGACACATTCATTACAGATCATATCATTTTCTTACAAATGGGTTCCAGTATAAATGTCCTGATTAACTAAATAAATCAGACTGGATTTCAGTGAGATTCATTTGTTTTCTCTATGGGCAGTGTAGTTCTTTTACTTTTTCTTCTAAACAATCTCTTATTTGAATCTGACTTCCTAAATGCATGTGATGAGTCTTAGCTATATTGTTTTATCCACAAATCAATCAGAACTTCAGCCACAGGTCATGTAAAAGTAAGTACACAGCCAGTGCTCATAAATGAGAGAGGGAACAGTACAGACTTGCATCTTTTGGCTCTGGTGCATTCCTCATTAGACTTCCCTGTATGGTAAAGCCCTATGTTTTTTTCATGCACAAGTCCCAAAGGACTGTTCTGTCAGTATGTTTGTGAAGTAGAAGTAAATCCTGACTGCATTGGATTCCTCACCCATTGTGTAGGAGGCTGAGGCAAATGTGGCAAAGATGTACTAAAAAAGGATTTACCTACTCGAGGAACTTCTGGTTTGTTACTTAGGCTGTCTGTAAATCTGCTCTATAGTACTGGACAGGGGACCTGATGTGATGAATATATTGCACTTTATTTCTATCCTCTTAATAAAGTAAAAGCAGAATTATTACCTCATGGCAAAGACACATTTTACAATTAGAGACAAACTACAGTTGGACATACTCGGGTTGAAAATGCTGATAAGTAATCTGACATAACTGCGTGTTTTAAAAGACCACAAAACCATAATAACACAAATCAGCTGTTGTATGGTTTGTACTTCATCTCAACGTGCCGTGCTTCAGCCTGCTTCCAGAAACATGTGTTTTCTGACCCTGTTGGTAATTGACAGGAACAAATGCTAAATTACGGTATCAGATCACAGCTGGAAACACGGGAGGAGTCCTTGATGTCGATCCAGAAACAGGAGCCATTTTTATTGCCCAACCACTGGACTATGAAGAAACAAAAATGTATGAGATTCACTTGTTGGCCTCTGATGGGAAATGGGAAGATTATGCAGTTATCATCATCAGTGTCATGAATAAAAATGATGAGGCTCCAGTTTTCTCTATCAATGAATACTATGGAAGTATAATTGAGGAAATGGATGCGTTACCAGTCTTTGTACTTCAGGTAGTGTATTCGGTTTCAGAGACTGTGATATTTCAATGAAAGAGCACAGATTACTGTGGGACAGTTATGGGACAATAATCTAGCAAATATATATTAATGGTATTTAGTTTTACTGAGGTTTTTTTGTCACTGGAAGAGGAGAAGTGGACTTTTAAGAAAAAAACAATTACAAAGATAGTAGGAGAAACAAGATGGATCATCTGTGATCCTGAAGAGCAAATAATTAGCATTTTAAAGTAGCTATCAGAATAGCATGTTTAAATTACTTCTATGCATATGAAAAATATAATATTTTTTTGGTACTAGAATATCTACATTGTTGTTGTAGTACAAAGCATGTTTGTCACGCTGAATTGTCCCTAATTTGCTATTCCCTGGCATGCACATATTAATACCCTGTCATGCTTTTGCTTGGGCTCCTTTAGACTGTAGCAACGTACAGGATGTGATGCAATCATGGTATATTTCATACTTTCTATGTCTTCTTTTCAAAACTTTTGTAGGTCATGGCAAGTGATCCTGACAGTGATGTGGATGAAGGAGACTTGAGATACTCATTGCATGGGTATGGTGCAGCTGATATTTTCACAATAGATGAGAAAACAGGCAGCATTTACTCACACAAGACACTGGACAGGGAGGAGAGAGCGCTGTGGAGATTTATTGTGTTGGCTACTGATGAAGGTGGAGGAGGACTCACAGGGTTTGCTGATGTGATTATCAACGTGTGGGATATAAATGACAATGCACCCACGTTCATGTGCATGCCCGATGACTGCAATGGGAATGTGTTTGAGAATTCTCCTGTGGACACTTTAGTCATGGAAATGGGTGCAGTTGATCGTGATGATCCAAATGTAGGTCTTAATGCTGTCCTGACTTACAGGATAACGGAGAATGTGAAAAATGAGTTTGGTACTGACATGTTTAATATCAATCCCAGTACCGGTACAATCCACGTTGCAGGGGGAATGCTAGACAGAGAAAGGACTGAAAATTACTTTCTTACTGTGGAAGCAAGAGATGGGGGAGGGTTAACAGGAACTGGCACTGCCACTGTCTGGGTTGCAGACATCAATGATAATGTACCTGTGTTCACAAAAAAGATGTGGCAGGCAGCAATTCCTGAGAACAGAGCCATCGACTCAGAGGTTTTGCAGGTGTGTGCTACAGATGCAGACATTGGGGAAAATGCAGACTTAACATTCAGTATCATTGGGGGAGACCCAGATCAGAAGTTTTACATTGAGAATGACAAAGAATGGCAGTGTGGCACAATCCGACTGAAAAAAAAATTGGATTTTGAGAACGCACGTGAAAGAAAGTTTAATCTTACTGTTACAGTGGAAGATATGGATTTTTCCAGCGTTGCAGTGTGCCTGATTGAGGTTGAAGACTCCAATGACCACAGCCCAGCTTTCCTTTCTCAGTCTATTCAAACAAACCCTTTATTTGAAAACATACCTGCAGGTACCACAGTGACCACAGTGAGAGCTACAGACAAGGATTCTGATTTGAATGGGAAGATTGTCTATTCTATAAAGTCAGATTCAGATCCTATGAGGCAGTTTGTGGTTGACCAGTATGGTCACGTGGTTGTGGCAAAGACCCTGGACCGTGAAGTCGTTGATAAATACAGTTTAATTGTACAGGCTGCAGACCAAGGGACGCCTGCCCGCACTGGGAGCGTTACAGTTTTGATTAACTTGCTTGATATTAATGACAATGGGCCAAGGTTTGAGGCACCATACATGCCTGTAGTTTGGGAGAACAGGCTGAGGCCTGAAATAGTTTACATGAACCGCACATCAAAGCTGCTTCACGCGTTTGATCCGGACAGTGAGGAAAACGGGCCGCCCTTCACGTTTTCATTGCCACCAGATTATCAGAACTCTTTGGATTTTTCTCTTACTGACAACGGGAATAGCACAGCAACTGTAACTGCTTTGAGGTCCTTTGACAGAGAAAAGCAGAAGGTGTTTCATCTGCCGGTAGTTATCACAGATAGTGGGATTCCACCCATGAGCTCTACAAACACCCTGACGATAACGGTTGGTGATGAAAACGACAACTGCCACGAGTCCGGCCATAAGGAAGTCTATGTGTACAGTTACAAAGGTAAGTGCTATCTGGATGTTATATCAGATTCTGGGTGTTGTATCAGGTTCATGAATATAGCAGAGTTTTACACATAATTTTTTCTCCTTGCAGTTTGTTAATCTATCTCTTGAATGGTTTACGTGTTTCAAAACGGCAGGTTCCATTCTGTGAACTACTAAATAAAGTGGAATAAATAAACTACATTAAGCTCAGACCCTAGTGTGTAAAACTTATCTACCAAGAAACTGTTAGCTGAAAACATGGATACATTGCACTTGCAGTGTTTTTATAAACTAATAAAATCTATTTTCCATTTGTGAGTTTTCACCTACACAGAGTTTTTTGTGTGCACACATGATTCAGAAAGTATCTGACAGAGCATGAACAGTTTAATAATACTTCCTAACATTTGTCTTTAATTTCTATTACTGTGTTTTTTCCTGAAGTTTACCTCTAAAACTTTACCTTACACTAGTTCTGGTGACCCTTACTAAGCAGTTTATTACACCTTTCCCCAGTTAGTCCATTCTAGATAGACTTGGCTATATCTCAGCTATCATTGCAATAGTAGAATTTCTGATAAATATTAGAGAAGATGAATCTACAGAAGGTACATTGCAATGAGTAACATTTGTTGGATTCAGTACACCTAAATTAGAAAGAGGTGTGGCCAGATCACACTGTAGAAATGAGAGAATGAAGTTTCTAGGGTGGGTTGGGTCCTGATTTGAACCTTAAAAATTTCCCATGTTGCTGAATCTTGGCTGTTGAATTCAGGGGTCTCCAACCCTGGAGTTGCTCCTTTTGCTGTTTTAGAAGAGCTGCTTGGATGTCCCACTCCTGTGGCAGCCCACAGGGGCCTGAAAAAAGGACCAAGACCTGGCCCACCTTGGTGGCTTTTTGCCCATTACCTTTTCTCAGTCAAGTCCTTCTCTCCCAGCTGCACCCCACAAGATCTCTCCCTTTTTTGCTGTATTTCACTTGTATGCTGTTTAAAATAATAGACAAGCAGTGAAACATTTGGGAATTAACTCCTGATGTGGTGATTTTTTTTTTTTTCTGTCTTAGAATTTCATAGAGACTTGTATTTTATGTATTATTCTGTTCTGTTTTCAGCTCTTCTTTCATGTGACATCTGTAGTATATTCACATTTCCAGAGCTGGCAGAAATCATATGACAGGCTATGCATTGTTTTAAGAATCTTCGATCAGAACTATCACCAATCTGAAAATAATAAATAAATAATAAATGCAGTAATGAATGTGGCAGAACATGAAATGTACTGAAAAGCAAAAATTAAATGCAGATTTATTCTAATTTATCTCACCAGGAAAATGGTCAACAACAGTGCTTGGGGAAGTGTTTGCACCAGATCAAGATGACTGGGACAATAAAACATTTCTCTCTGAAGGAAAACTGCTCAAGTGAGGATTGTATTTCTGTCAAAATGAGTAATATTTATGCTTCTGTAATTATTTTACCGTGTATTTCTCTGTGTTCAGGATTGCATAAAGCCAGGGTTATTGAGTGTACTAAGGGATGTACCTTCTCAATGCTCTTTTTTCTTTGGGTAGAGAAGTATTAAGAAAAGTAATGCATAAAATATTTTTTCCAGGAGAATGCAGGATCACACCATGATGTTGATTTTTAGTCAGATGTCACTGTTAATTTATTTTAAAATGTGCATTCTGTAAGATCCAGTTTAAAAATAGGCAGAGTTTTTAATACTTGCTCTCAGATATGAGAGCTGATGGAATACAAATCCCAAATTTAAAAGTACAGAATAGAATCATTTCACCCAGAGTGGAAGGGAATTTGGTGATCTCCTTTGATGTCTAAATTTACAATTGCATGTGAAAACCATAACTCAGATTAGTGGAGTTTTTTCTGTTAATTGAAATGTTGAATTGGACTCTTAATTCCTACTTAGACATTATTTGTTCATATCATAAAGCGAGGTGGCTGATGGCAGAACTGAATGCTGTTGGAAGGGGAAGAAATGGATGTGAAAGTGGATGTGAATTTTTTCTCTATGCTGTGACTCAAAATTTAAAAGCTGTATGTATCCAAACATTAAAGACTGGCTTTCTGTCCATCAGCAGCCCCAGGGCCTATTTCCCTGTTAAGAGGTTACTGTTCCATAATACTGGAATATTTCCATATTTGCTGATGACTGGGCTTTTGAGGTGTCAAATGAAGGTGCTGTCAGAGATTTCTTACAGACCTTACCCTGTTTCAGACAGAAATGTGATAATCTGGAATGATTTGTGTGGTTTGTCACTTCCTATTTCTTACCTGAGCTCATGGTGACCTGAACCCCTGGTTCAACTGCACACTGTTTCTAGTCAAATTTGGGAAAGTCTGAGTGGCACAAACATCTTTTTATAAGCTCTGCAGATTGTAATTTCTGAACTAAGGTGTTTCTGATGCTTTTGTGAGGTTGTTGGCTAATTCCCATCGGTTTTGATCCTATAACATTCACAGTAACATTTAAGGCCTTCTGAAACATATTAATGAATAAAATAAGTGCTCAGTTTTGATTTATTAAGGTTTCCTAATTGAAGGTTTCTGTCTAGTTCTTTCAGATTAAATCAGAGGACCGGGTCTTTGCTGATGGTGGATAACACTCCTCAGGGAATATACAACTTAAAGGTTAGAGTTTCTGATGGAGTTTGTCCTGATGTTATATCTACAGTACAAATCCATGTCAAAGAGCTGGAAAATGAAGCCATACAAAACTCAGCCACTGTGCGTCTGTCAGGTTGGTTTTATTTGCTGGTGAGTTTAGATCAGCTGCTCCTCTAACTGAATGATTTTGTGGTGTAGGTGTTGTTATATCAATACTTGATGTACTGATCACTGTAGGGCACTTTCTGGTCTATTTCCATATTGTTAAATACCAAAAAAAAATTGAGAAATCAGCCTGTGATGTCCCAGTATCTCATGTTTATCTGTTTTTGAATCCCAAACTCAGATATGACAGCAGAGGAGTTCATCAGGAGAGATGAACGCGGCAGAACGAGACACGGAGAGTTCAAGGAGTTACTTGCAAAAATGTTGCCTGCTAAGCTGAGTGATGTCATTGTCTTCAGTGTGATGAACAGGGGTGGAAAACAGACAGATGTCAGATTTGCAGTCCGTGGTGGCTCAGCGTATTACAGACCTGAGAAACTGCATGCTGAGGTGGCAGCATTTAAAAATGAGGTTTGTTCTCTGGGGTTGTTGTGCATCTATGGAATTCACCCAGACTCTGAGTTTGGGGGGTGTATATCCCAGACCTCAGTGGAAAAATATTCTAGATCTGCAGATAAGATTTTTATTGCTTCGCTCAGGACAAAAGCACTTGTCAAATAAATTCTTCATTCAAGCTTCCTCCCTTCTTTTTAGTCCCATATCTGCAATTACTGTATGGCTTTACTGACTTCTGATTCATAACCAGAATATAAGCCCTTTACAGCTGCAGGAAGATGGGTCTCCATTTCCATCATGGGACAGATGCCTGTGTTTTCTCCACTTAGTGTTTAATTGTGTAATCTGTCAAGACTTTTGAATATGAAATAAGAAGAATCCCTAGAAGCCGAAGTGGTACTGTAGTACAGATGATGTCTTGGAAATGGCAGCTTTTTGGACATTTGAGGTGCTGATGGAAGTCCCCAAATCATCAGCCTGTGTTTAGACACTCAGAGTAGAGGCTTGATGCCACCCAGATGGAAATTCTACTGTACAAAGAGATGATACTTCATAGAAAAAAGCCCTGCTGGGAGGAATATGCAGTTAGAAGAGTAGTTACAACAGATAAGTGAGATGGAGACAACAGATTCTGTGATTGCATTTAGCTGCATGTATTTAAATACAAAGTGACACCCTCCTCTAACTTCTTTTCCTGTTATAAGAGAGAATTCCTGGTGTGCTGTTTGTGGCTCTGGGGCCATGTTTGGTTTAAATAGGTACATCTTATGGAGGATTTTTCTCAAAGAGAAAACAGCACTTGCCATTTGTGTGAATGTAGTGGAGTTTGCCTGAGTCTGGGAACAGAACAGGGCTGTCTGAACTTACCACCTGCCTACATCTTGCTGTATCTTAAATAGCTGTGTAGATTAGGAGACTGTTCAGAGTGACCAAGTAGGACATGCCAGAGAGAGGGAGTATTCAGGAAGGGTAACCACTGCTTCTTTTGCATATTTATTGAATTACTGCAACAATAATATAGAAAACAGCATAGATTTCAAATATTCTGTGCCACAGTATATGACATGTGTATTCCTCAAAGTAGTAACAAGGGGATTGCTTCACATATTTTAATGAAAAATCTGTTTGTATTAATTATGTATCACCTCTCAATATTTAATGAATAGCTTTAGTGAGCAATCACAAATAGTTTACAGGAAAACAATCATAGCTGGTGAATTTCTCCAGTAGTTTTTGTACATACTAACTATAAATACAGAAAATAAGTAATTAGCACTGGAATTATTTGTTGAATTGCTACATAAATAATATGTTTGTATTACCTCTTTGGGATCTACTTTTACAACAGCTATTTTTATTTAGCAGGAAAATAATCCATCCTAATACTTTTAAGGAGCCAAGGTTGTTTGTATACAATTTTTCTGTAATAGTATTGCAGAGATGTCTAAATGTGCATTACAGACCCTCCACTAATGGTTATAAACGTGGGCAGCAGACACAGAACTGCATTGACAGGATGCATCATGTCATTATAAAGTAACCTTCTGCCCGTGGGGCTGTGATCATCAATACATGTTACTATATTTGAGAACAGATGGACAATTGATTGTAAAGGTCAGAGTTCCTACAGTGTGAACTGAGATGCCTGCATTAGTGAAAAAACAACAGAAGTGCTTTACTTACATATTTGTTTTGATCTTTTCAAAACTTATTTGTAATAAATTTGCCATACATTTTATCATTTGGAAAAAAAACATATTAAGTATATAAAGACCTCATGTTAGTTTTACTTTTGTATACCATGGTGGGTGCCACTGTGGGAGTAGTGAGGTCTCCTGCATTCAGGTTTGGGCACTACAGAAACATCACTTTAATGTATTTTAACCACCAAACACAAATCAAATTCTGAAACTTTCTAATAGGCACCTGTGCAAAATCCCCAAGCAAGTAGAAGGAAGAAATCTGTGCCAGGGAACAAACTTTGTCATAACTTAGTCCAGCTAAGGCTGAAGGACAAGAAGCCAGGAATAGCAGCATCTCTGTTCCTGCCTCAGGCACCCCATGAACAGCTACTTCACTTCCATGTGCTCTGCTGGGCCTTCCTTGGTCTGTTTGGATTAGAAGATGGGAACTGTGGAGACACTCACTACTTCTGCATTACAGACCTGTGTACACTGAAGCTCTACTCTTTATTGAACACTTGGGCTCTCAGGTGCAACCCCAATTAGTGATAAAAATGACGAATAGCAAAGTTTAATGTAGCAAAGAATGCAGCATCCAGGATGCTGAACTGACAGTGTTTTGTTTCAGACAGTTTGGCATTAAATGTAAATTTATGGGGCACAAATCATTAGACTGAATCAGAGGTGCTATAGAGTTGTCTTTTCAGGTCACTGTCTGTGGACATGATTATTGAAAGCAGCTCAGCCCTACATATTCCCATGTCTGTGTGCCTGTGTGTGAGAGAATGTCGGAAGCAGTATCTGGGTGTTACTCCCGAGGAATTTATCCTGGCTTGAGCTGAAATTTGCCTGTTGCCATCAGGCTGCAGAGGGATGTGACACAAATGACACAGCTCAGAAGGTGGAATATCACTGCTCCCAGAGCTTTGGTCCTTGGAAATAGTGTTAGTAGGCCAGTACAGATTTAACATGTTCTCAGTCAGTCATGTCAACAATTCAGTTTTTGGGAAATGCTGCTGTAATTTTTTTACCATTTTTTTCCTGTATTTTTTGGGTAATTTTGCTTGTGTGTACAGCCAGGGATGTTATTAAGAAACAACAAACTAAAGCATTCCATTAAGTCTCTGATGGCTTATTGTTTTCAGAAGTTGAGCGAGTAAAAGCCTTCACTGGGATGAGAGTGGTGATGTGTTAAACTGTATTTCCTCTTAGATCCAGTCAGCTTTGCAGCTGAACATCTCCCAGGTCGATGTGGACGAATGCAGGAGTGCAAACTGCAGCGAGGGCTGTACAAACCACCTCAGGGTGGGCGACATTCCCACCGTGATGGACACTGGGAGCGTGTCCTTTGTCTCTCTCACAGCCACCATCCAGGCAATCTGCGGCTGCTCCGCCCGGGAGCGGCTCCACCAGCCCTGCTCCTCCTACCCTCGGAGCCCCTGTCTCAACGGGGGCATCTGCACTGACACCCTGAACGGGTACAGGTCAGCACACCTGTATTGCACATTGTCTATTTCCTCCTATTTTTAAAGTGTCGAGTGGAGCTTACAGGATACAGGTCTAAAGTAGTTATAAATGTACTTCTGACTGAAGGAGAGACAAAAAAACCCCACACTCACCCTGGGGTCTAAACAGGGTCTTTCCTAATGAGCCATGATGATGCTGTAGTCCCCAAAGCAGTGGAAATAGTGTGTGAGTAAGAAAGAAAACCCTGAGGAAGACACATTAGTGTAATTAACACATGTCATTTTTTAAAAGCACCTCATTCAGTATGAGGGAATGTGTGCCTTGGATTTTTTGTTTTCCAAAAGAGTAATAATAAGGGTGAATAACAGTGGATGTAAGAGTGAAATGCAGTTTAAGCAGTGGGTAATAAGGAGCTCAGACAACATTAGATAGGAAACTTCTTGTAGTATAGCATTACCTAGCATGCAGCATATTCCCTCAGTGAAATTATATTGGTTTATTCTAGCTAGGAATTAACCCCCCTGAGTTTTTAAATTGATGCTTGGTGTTCTGTGTTACTCATTTAGGGAAATAGTTCATTATTCTCAAACACATGGCCTCAATAATACTTTTTTTTTTTTTTGAGGGAGATAGTATAGGGAATAAATATGCTTTGTACTCTTGGAGTATTTTAATAATTGCCAAGCAGCCCTGAGATTCTGCTAAAAATCTTTTTCACTGATATTTTTTTACTGTGACTTAAATGCTGCTTTTGTTGCCTGTAAAATAAAATTTAAAAAAAAGTTGAACTTGGGGGAATTTTTACTATTTCTTTTGGTTTTGGTCTTTCAGATGTCTTTGTCCTGCTTCCTTTCATGGACCAGAGTGCCAGCAGACTAAGCACAGTTTCCATGGAAATGGATATGCATGGTTTCGTCCCATCAGACCTTGTTTTGAAAGCTCACTGTCTCTGGAGTTTATAACAGTGGTTCCAGATGGACTTTTACTATATAGTGGTCCTTTAGCAAATCCAGAACCTGGGAGTACAGAAAACTTCATTGCAATAGGTACTTGTGCAAAAGTGTGTGGAAAAATGAAATGTCTCTGAGAATGGGTTTCCTGTGAGCAGTGTAATAGTTAATCTGTGAATTCTGTCTTTTCATTTAACGAGATAACTTATTTTCTGGTTTGAAAATACTTTGAAACATTTCCTGGTAGGGTTTTTCTCCTTTGATGTCTATTTTTGTAGCCTGCACCTATGGCTTTAGGTCCACAGCAGAGTTGTAGGGGAAAGCAAAACAGATTGATACATATGTAAAAAAATAATCCACCTAGAAAAAGTGTAGTGCTGTAAAGGAATTTAGGTACTTTGAAGACAGGTATTACATGATTAATGCAGATTTAGTCGCATGTCATTCTTATCTAGTTTAGTGAGAAAATAAATCCACTTAACCTGTCAGTTTTGGGGCAGTTTTGCACTTTTCTTTAAACAGGCAATGATTTAATGCATGAATCCAACCCCACATGCTACACAAGTAGAATTCAATGCTTTATGTTGACATATATTTAAAAGGTTACTACTGATTATTTTTTGTGGATTAATTATACAAGATGCACAGTGTGGTTGGCATTTTTTATTTTCCTAATTAATGGAAAGGTAATATTGTTAATCATTTACCTTTTTTTTGCCTTGCTTTGCAGGTCCTTGTAAACTTGAGTTGAAGATGGGAGTTAAACCTGCATGTGTTGTTTTAGAACATCATAAAATTGCAGATTGCTTATCAGGAATTAGTGTTTTGACAGAAGTGGTGTAATCTAAAGTATAAAAATAAATAATATACTGAATGAGTATTTCTGCATAGTGGAAGTCCTGGGATATAATTGTAGTTATTTCTGTAGTGAACCCACTCTGTGTAACCAGCAATAACCATTAAATCAGTACAGTCACTAACTGCTGACATATCCGAAATGGAAGGATTCTTGTTTAAAGCTGAGTTTAATTTCTTGCCCATGTTGTGTTAGAACTCTCCAGTGGTATTCCTGTGCTGAAGATGAGCCATGGCTCAGGCTTTGTGGTGCTGCAGTTTCCAAGCCATTTGAATGTAGCAGACAAGAAGTGGCATCGGCTGGAAGTCAGAACCAATGGTCAGGTCAGTTTGTTTGTGTTTTTTATTCCACATCAGGATATTAATATGTCCAACAGCATTTCCCTGTGTGGGAACAGGAGGGTAGAAAGAACAGACTGGATAATCTTATATATTGTTCTCCCTGACCTTGTAGATTTGATGAATAATAGAAATTTTGGGAAGACCAGTTCCAAATCTACCTATGTTGTAATCCATATTCTGTGATCAGAAGAATCTTTTTGCCTTTTTTGAGCTCTGCAGCAGCACATGTGGAATGTGCATAAAAACTCTGTTGTGATTTGCACATTCCATGTACACATTTGGACACTGGAATCGATTACCCATGCACAAAAAGCAACCATTACTTGATTTGCAAATGCAGTTACATGTCTCGTGTAAGTGGTTAAACTGCTCAAAAGCATAAATAAAATGCAGGGTTGAGTTCCTTCTTTTGCTAAATGGTTCCATTTTGGCTTTACTGGTTACTGCAGGATGGTAAACAGAACAGGGGGGAAAAACCTAACCCTTGTTTATTGAATTTTGCGGAAATGGTTGATTCAGTAACCCTGTTTTGGCACAGGATGTTCGGTTCACTCTGGACCAGTGCAGTGCAGCTGTTGTCTCGGAGATAGAAGGGGTTGGCAGGTGGTTGTCCACTGAGGATCGTACAAACTGTGAAGTGTTCGGGTCTGTCCCACGAAGAGCAAGGTACGTTTCCAGAGACTCCCTGGAAGGCACTTGGTTCTAAGGCCTGTGAACATTCTACCTATCAAATTGAAGCCCAAGTTGTTAATCACCAGGAGCCTAAAACCATTTCCTTTTCTCTAGGACCCTCTAGGTCGAGCCTGGACCTTAAAGCACTAAATAAATTTTAAGAAACCAACCTCCCCCTGAGTAGTGTTGCAGTACTAAGTGACATCCCCAGAACACTGTGGGATTAGTGCTGGAGCTCTTGTGTACCATCCTTTGCCTGCAGAACTTCTCTCTGTTTATCAAGTCACTGTGAGCCTGCTCTTGAAAACTTCATGAATTTAGGCCAGTTGGCTTTGTAATGGCAATAACTGCATCCTCAGCCAGTCTTACTGTCTGACTGGGATAAGTCTGAGGGCTCCTGCTGACAGCCTTGAGTGAACACCTTAAGGCAGACCAACACATCAGGGTCCCCAGCTGATCCAAGGTTCCTGCCTGTATAGCAGAGCCAGAGGAAGTGCACATGTATCCATGCTGTTCCCAGCCTGGTGCACTTGCACAAACTGCTAATTCAAGGCTGCTGCTGATGTATCTCGTGGTCTTGTACTGAAACAAAACCCACCTGTGTTTGTTTTCCAGGGAAGTAGTTCAGCCAAGGTGCAATAGTGACTGGGATGGTTTAAATTGCTTGTGTTGTTGGGTCAACACTTAGCCTCAGTTAGAACTGAAAAAGTTGGAAAATTTGATTTAAAAAGCAGTTATTACATTCAAAGTGTAATTCAGTCACAGAATTGCAGAGTGGTTTGGGTGCAGGGTGGACATGGACCAGCTGGGAATGGTCCAGAGAAGAGCAATGACTGTAAACAGCTTGTCTTGAGAGTAAAACCTATTGAGAATGAAGGAATTGAGGTCAGTTAACTGAAAGAGGGGAAAACTGAGGAGAGATATGGTAAGTCTCAGTGTATATAAAAGAGTGGTACAAAGAGGATTTAGACAAGCTCTTCAGTACAGGGCTTTAAAGTTACAGTGAGGAATATTCAGGTTATATTTTAGGGAAACTTTTGTACAAACAAAGATACTTGAGCCGTGGAATAGATAGTCCAGCAAGTGTTCTGATTAGCAGTGGGATTAAGCCTTGTCAGAAGCTGTATGGAGCCCTCCTGGTCATGAGAGGAGCACACAAAAAAGGGAAAAATATAAGAAAAAATGAAGAAAAAACTCAAGGTGATAACTCAGGGAAAAAAAGAAACTGTGAGGACTAAAATATATGGAATTCTTTGGCTCAGAGAGCTGATTGGAAGACACTGCAGAGCTCAGACACGTGTATCATACCTTTTAGACTACATGGACCCAACTTTTGGGGTTTTGACCTTTATCACACACAGAACAGTCTTTTTGGTAGTATTTCTACAGCGTAGGATGACTGTGCACACACAGCACTTCAGGGAGATTATGATGTCTGGAATATCACAGCTTTTTCTGATGTGAACACAAACATACCCAAATTGTAAGTGTCCCACAGTACAACTTCCAGCAGTCATGTTTAAAAAAATACCCTTTATTTTAAAGGCCCAAATTCTACTCACTGACTATTTCAGAGAAAGAGGAAGATAAAGTAGTTGCATTCTGCTGTGATTTTATAAAGCATGTGGTATTTAAGCACATTATAAAGCAGTGTAGGTATTTATTTATCTGCCTTATTGTATAATGCTTATGTTTGAAGGTAGATGTACATCTATTTTTATTATTTATGTGATTTTCAAAGGTATTTGAATGTGAACCATGTTCTGCAGCTGGGTGGTGTAAAAGAATCGTTGCCCTATTCCTACCCACAACTGCAACACAAACATTTCTCTGGTTGCTTACGCAATTTCATACTGGATACTCAGGTAAGAGCAGTGTAACATTTGCTTAGGCAAAGGAGCAAACCTCTTTATTAAATTTTTGGGAGATTTGTGTTATTCCTGAAACTTCTGCTTCCATTAATCTGTTCAATGCCCACGTGCATCATTGTAAAATACAAGAAAATTCTGGATTTTTCTGTCACAAATAGAATAAATTATAAAATAGAATAAATAGAATAAACTATCTTTAAAATTTACTTCTCAATTACAAGCAGATGTATTAATGAGTCAGGAACTGTGTGTTTGTTTATCCCCTGCTTCATGCAGCTGTTCTCCAAGCTTCTTTGCACTTTCAGGGAACTTCTGAATGGCAGTTGTATAAGGGTATATTTATGCCAGCTGCCTGCTTTGTTAGGAAGTATTAAGGGTTTTGGCTTTCATAGTCAGTTGGGTTTATTCAAAGGCAAAAGATGCTCTTGATAAAATAAGTTGAAGTCTGAATGTCAAAAAGCGAACGTAGCAAGTTTTGAGCAGTGCAGATGAGGAGCAGGCGGCCAAGCGGTGCAGCTATTTCTGTTTAAAAAATGAAGTTGTGTTTCTTGAGGAATATTTTGGTGTCACACAGTTTTCTCTTGAAGGTGTATGACCTTCAGTCTCCTGCAGAGTCCCTGAATAGCTTCCCTGGCTGCACACTCACGGATGAGAGCTGTGAGACCATGGGCTCCTCTTCCTGCGGCATTCACGGGAGGTGTCTTGGTGACTGGGGCTCGTTCGCGTGTCACTGCCTGCCGGGTTACCACGGTTATCGGTGTGACAAAGGTGAAGCCTCTTTTCCTGTTTCATTATTGATAGGCTGCTAAATTTTACAGTACATAGAACTTCAGATATCTGAAGGTAATGGTTGCTGAGGCGGTTCCTTATGATTAGACTGTGTAAAGCCATGTTTCAGTGTAGTTGTTGCCTGTGATAGTTAAAAATTTCTAATTCCCTTTGGGAAATAATTTTTCTCTATTGGGTTATTTCTTTAATCCTGAGGGTGTTTGTGGAATAACTGCATAATGGAGACTGCATGACAAAAAAAGTGGGAAAAACCTATTTGATTTTATACCAGTTTTTTGATTTGCATCTGTTTTTACTGTCAGAAGTGTGTAATAACCTACAAACGTGAGTGTGCCACTATCACTTCTTGTGCAGAATTAGAGCTGTACAATTGGAAGTAGAAATCACTGCACTGTTGGTGTCAGGAAGTCACTCTGCTGGCTTAAGGATCTGTGCTTTGGGAATAGTAGGACCTTTAGCTCTCATGAAGCCAAAGTTTGCAGCAGAAAGACAACTATAAAGTAGCAGTTTATGAAATTTGATTGTGTACTTAATACTTGGTCTGCAGTCTCCTGTCTTGGTCAGAGCTGCTGCTTTCCTGCTGTCATCCCATGTGAGCATTTTAAGGAGGAGCCTTAGCAGGATCAAGTCAGGCAGGAGAACACCTCTTTACAGAGGAAGATGAAGTGGGAGGGTGACTGGGGAAGCTATGGAAAGAAATGTCCCGAAAGACAAACTATATCATGGATCCAGGCACTGCAATTGTTCCCTTTTACTTTCAACACTTATTATGACAATAAGGGAAACAGTAATGTTTTCCTCTTTTCACAAAAGGGGCTAAAGGTTTTTATCCCTTTTAGCTGCCCAAGAATACACCTTTGAGCCAGGGGCTCACGTTCGGTACCAGCTCCCGGTGAGCGTCTCTGCCCGCAGGACGCTGTTCCAGGCCATGGTCCGGACTCGGCAGCCCGACAGTGTCATCACCAGCATGTTGTCTCGGAGGAAGGACGAGCACATCACCCTGCAGGTGAGCCAGGCATCTGAGACAGCGATAGCAGGGAGTTACATCAGTGCCAGTCACAGTTAGCTCAGACAAACATTAGCTTAGGAGTTGGAAACGGAACAAAAAGCCCTTACGCTAAGCACAGACACTTTGGAATTTGTTTCATGGATACACACGGATCTGATCCTTTGCTTGAGATACTGATCACACAACTGTGGTATCCCATTGGATACCGAAGGAATTTATTGCCAGACGCAGTGAAATACAGTTTCTATGCACACCAGGGTGAGTAGGGTGTTGTCCCCTGGTGTCCCACTGAACCATGTGGCCGATTCTGTGTGGTTCAGACTCTGCCAAGCCAAGTGCCTGTAGCAGTTCTAATGCTGGCAGGCTCTCAAAATGACAACCTTTTCATTTTACACACACCACTGAATGAGTCACCTCTTCAGCTAAGTTAGTTTGAGCTGTCAGTGTAGCTGTGATACAGCCATTTGAAGAACCCCATAAATTTGTGCAAGACAGATGCAGGGTAAAATTATTCTGAGTGACTTAGATACTACTGTCAGTTCACTGCTACCTGTATTTAGGTTGTCTAGTTCAGTAGCACCTAAAGTATTTTTATATTACACCTGTATGTGCAATGTAAACATACTCTAAATTTAAGCAAATGCTTTCAGATTGAAGTTACAAGTCAATACCAAGGAATGACTTTTCTTTCTTGCTATTTGTTAATTATCCACAAGCTTGTCCAGGGACTCTTAGTGGTCTCATACAACCTGGGTGATGGAGACTATTCTGTAAGCCTTCCCTCCTACCACATTGATAATGGTGAATGGCATCATATCACACTGGAGAGAAATGAAAATGAATTTACTCTTCGCCTTTATGAAGGAGGTGGGAAGAGAGAGATTATGAAAGCAGAAGGGGTATACAAAGAGATTGTGATTGACCCCAGCAGCTTGGTCCTTGGAAACACCTATCCATTCAATCAAAACAGGAGTTTTCAAGGTAGGAATTCTTGATCTGACTGTTCAGAATATGGACCTTCAAAAATGAAGCGTGGCCATTTTGCAGGAAGCTTTCTTGTTTATGTAGGGCCCAAAGGACACAGATTTTCATGCATGACACTTTGCAAAAGGGACAAATAAGCTGTTCTGACTAAGAAAAGGTACAGCAGGGATGTACAGCATGCACATATGGTCAGCTATGGACTTGGAACAGAGATGGTCACCTCTTCACTTGGCTGCACACTCCAAACTGTAGTTTATTACCTTGCATTACTGGATTTTACACGTAGTCAAAGCATTAAATAAAATTAGAAATGGTTTATTGAATTAAAGATAACAATCTGAATTTTTAGCAACTGAGTGGACAAAGTCACGGTGTATGTTAAAAACAAATCAGTTTTCAGCCTGTAAATTGAATCAAAACTTCAGCAAATTCAGTCAAAAAATTAAGAAAAATGCTATGAAAGTTAAGGTAAATTCAGTCTCGAATTTAAACTTTGGTAGCCTGGGTCCTTTGTTAAACATAAGCTGCCAAATCTTACAGCTGCTTCACATCTTTCTTGCTGAATGTCTTCTAAAACCATCTCTTTTTGCCTTACTCCAGGATGTATGAAGGATGTCAGATTTAACAACTACAGAATCCCTCTGGACACTCAGGGGAAGGAGCTGGTGTCAGTATTGAGTGCCCAAGGTGTCAGAGAAGGCTGTTCTTCGGAGGCCTGTAGGAATAACCCTTGTAACCAGGAATTTATTTGTATTGATTTGTGGATGATGCATGAATGCAGGTAACTGGTGGAAATACAAGCACAAAACCCTCCAGACAGAGGTGGGAAAGGGTGGGTGCTGAAGTGCAGCTCGGAGGCTGCCATTAGCAATCTCATCAGATCGGTGGCACACAAAGCTGGACGCCTGCACGGACAGCAGGTTACTCTGTCCTTAACAGGCACCACCCTCAGCTGATGTGAATCAGCCTGGCTCCAGGGATTCTGTAACAGCTTTGGCTTCCTGCCTCTTTTGTTAGTGTCTGACATCTTACACTGTCTCAGGCTGTCACCTCTGTTCCCTTCCAAGCCACTTGGGCTGTGTTAGAAATGTTGCACCATTAAGCTCAGATTCTTGTGTGTGGCTGGGGCTGGGGTCAGGACCCTAATTCAAGTTAGTTGTGCTGTGCAGATGTACCCTTTTCTTACATACACACTTCAGTGCTTACACGCATTCCTGACTGCCACTGTCCACACAAATGGAGTTTTCTTGCTTTGGGAACACAAAGAACGTGGCATGGCTTGTCCTGCCTGGCCAGAGCTGCAGACCCTGATCCAGCTGTTTCTCACAAGGATAATCTTGTAGAAACCAATGGAACTACTTAAGTTCTGAAAGCCCCAGACAAAAGGGTTGGAAGTTGTGGAGCTCATTATTGCATGGCTGCTCCAGGAAACACAATAATCCTGTAATCGTTTCACAGAACTCACTCCCAGTACCTACTTCAGAAACCGTACATAGAGTATCAACACCTGTTGTGAAATCTTCAGAGCTGCTTTTCTCAGAGTGTAATGGTGTGACTTCCCCTTGTTGTCCCCAGCTGCCCCCGGGGGCACATGGTGGTGGAGAACGCGTCAGGCCGGCAGTGCGTGCGCACGGCGTGTGCGGAGCGGCCCTGCCACTCCGGCACCTGCACCGCGCGCTCGCCGGCAGAGTTCCAGTGCCACTGCCCCGACGGGTACACCGGGCGCCACTGCGAGGTCACCCTGGCCATCTTCCACAAGGACACGGGCCTCAGCTTCAGCTCCCTCTTCGCCATCTGCATCTGCTTCCTGGCGCTCTTAGGTAGTTACGGCAACTACGTCTTGTATTACCTTTGGTGAGCTCACCTTTGGTGTCCGTCTTGCCCTGAGCACTTGTCATCTCATCCTCCTGCTGGAGAACTCCCATTTCCTCATGGAGACTTGACTGCCTTCATTTCTTTGCCATGGTCCCAGCCCTGGCAGTAACCGATTGTTCCATCCCCATGTGCACCCATCGCTAAGTGAATCGACGTTTGTGAGCTGTGGGAAGTCTCTGCAGTTTTGTTTTCTGCACATTTGCACTTCACTGCTGAGGAACTGTTCAGATGCATAATTGGAAGGAAATGCAATTGAACAGCAAGAGTGGAAATTGCTACCAGATAAGCATTGTTTAAAATACTGCTGAGCATGAAACAGATTTTTCAATGTAGGAGAGACGTTCAGTGCAATAGGAATACACTCCATCAGGCAGGAGCAGACTTTGCATCTTTCCAGTTGTGTCCCAGCTCCTAAACAGCTGCTTTTGTCTTCCTCAGCCATTTTCAGGCTTAGGCATTTGAATCTCAAAAAGAGGAAAAAGAGAAGGATATTAATAGTGAGGAGGGATTACGCCTTTGAGCCTTTCTTGTTTATTCAAATGTCATGGAAGCTTGCCTGAGTCAGGACACAGGATTTTTCTAATGGCTATTGCAGTGTTAATGCAGTTTCATTCAGAAGTTGTAGTAAGAGTATGGAAATGTATTGTGGACTCTTTGGAATCCATCTGTGTAGCTACCTGAAATGCCATCATGTTCCCCCAACTCTGCTAGATACTATGTTTGCCGTGCAAATATGAGCAGCAAATTTGTGGGAAGCTAGGTGGTATCACAGCTTTTGGAATCCCAGATAGCTGAGGTTGATAACAGATCATTGTTAGAGGGCATGGACCTCTGTACCCCAGTTTCAGTCCCAAGGTCATTTAGATGCTGCTCCACAGACCTTCTGCCATGTGGATATTTAAGAGATTCTAGTTTCTTTATTCACTGCATTGTTATTTTATGGTATTCAATGCTTTGAGGTCTTACTATGAGCATTTATCAGTTTTTATAGAGTTGGTAACACTGTGATACACAATTTTCAATTTATATTATGTTCAGTATCTGATGTTGAAGCTTGTCAGTGTGTAAAATGCACCTCAGCATTTAAGAAAAATGTTTAAATTCATGGAAGCTAAGGCAAAATGTGCCTGATCTTTTTTTTTCTAGTAAAACATCTAAAAGTGATCTCCTCTTTTGTCTTGTGTCTTCTTGTGTTTCATTTCTGTGTAATTGTGTCTGTTACTGTCACCATGTTGTTCCTTTAGTGCTCTCCCTCTGTAATGCATTTTCTGTGACACAGTTTTAACTCCACACAGAGTAGAGACAGTTCAGAGACACCACTTGGGTCATTCAGGTCTTTAACAACTTCGAGTTGTGCTTCAAAGGGTGTTGCAAAATGCTCTTTAAAAGCTTTTCCTCTGTGTTTGATGTTCACGTGTAACTCACTGAGGAGTGCAAACACCAGCCACGTGCTGAGAAAGCCCCACTGCAGCAGTGCTGGCCCTGCTGTGCACTGGGGGTTTGCTGGGGTCTGTATCATGCTCTGCTCTGCTCCTGTGTCCCCACAGCTCTGCTCAGTGCTGGATTCCTGTGGGCTCACTGGAACACACGCAAGGGGCTGCACGGAGGTGTCTACCACGGATCTGCACATCCCGAGGATCTGGAGGACATCAGAGAAAACATCCTCAACTACAACGAAGAAGGGGGTGGGGAGCAAGACGAAGTAAGGATCACTGTCAGGTTACAATTAAGAGGGGACTGGTGGCTCACCATGCTGAGGAAAATACATTTTGTGGTGTGTCCTCAGCCTTTGTTCTGCTGATTCACTCCTGCAATTGGCAGATGAATTATTTGTAGGGTTCTGTACATGAGGGTGTGTGTTTCCTAAGCAGAGATAAGTGCCTATTCATTTTTAATCTGTCTGAAAGCAAGTGATCCTGTGTGCATATTGAAAGGAGCCTGGAGAGCGAGTTTAGCAGCAGGGAACTGTCAGCTGGTGGGTTTGGTTTCACAGCTCAGGACACCCCGAGCTGCTCAGGGGTCATCACTGGGGTAGCTCTGAGAGCTTCAAAGAACCTGGTGTTCCTCATGGACAGGCTCTTTCTGTAGTCTGCTCCTGACAGCAGGTATTCACACCTGACTTTAGGAAGGGGATGTGCTGCATTTGCTCCTCGTATGCCCTGAAGCAGGTGGTGGTTGTGGAAGAACATTTCTGCATTTTTCTGTTCTGGACAGAAATGCACCAGTGAACGGCACCAATGTGTGAGGGGTCAAAAAAAGCCAGTGATTTTTAAAAAGTATTAAATTTGACCTGTCCCAAAATTCCAAATATTTTAAAGAATTTTGAGTTATAAAATATAGAGAGTGTTTTGCAAGGCCACCTGGGAAAATACTCTTACTTGTAGAGTATCCTTATTTTCTTGGTGAATTAGTGAGAAAGTAATAAACACAGAGACATTTTCCATGTGATAACATAGGCAGCTATAAATCCTGTTTTCCTTAATCAGATTAACTTCCTCTGCAAGATTTTGCAATTTTACACCCAGAAGGTCTCTTTGAGGAAATCCACAGTTACTGTATGACATGTTTAATTACTTTTGGAGAGTTCTTAAAATACACTCCTTGTTTGAAGGAGAAGAATCAAATTTGTGATTGGTGATCTTCATCTGAGGTTATTACTCTGCCTGAAGAAATAATGCTTGGAGTGAAGCCTCTCTGGGTTCTGTATACTCTTCCTAAATTCTTCAGATTTAACAGTTGCTGGGATTGCAAGATAAAACTTTTCAAGCTAAAACCTAATTGATTGTCTGGATAAAAAACCCCAGCCCCCAAAATACCCAGAATTACACCACCTTAGTTGTGTTCTAATGTTACCTTAACAAAAGGATCATGAGGGCATTTGGACAAGAGAGTTTTGTTTTTGTAAAGTTAGCAGAGGGTAGGGCTGTGGGGACAAAAGGCTGTCTTACAAAGGAGTTTCTGCATCTGAAATAAATAAAACTGTCCCTCAGAGAAATTCCCTCATAAAAATTGCAGGAGGTCAGTGCACTGTTGAGAACACACTGAACTCAACACGTTGTTAAAAGCCGGCTCTGGACCCACAGGCAAGGGTTGAGTTGGGTTTGTAGATGGCCAGCTAAGAAGGGTTTACTGTCAGAAGAAATGTGTCATTTTAATGAACAACTAATAGCAGTGAAGGATGATTTTAATATCATCCAGTTCACTGAAGGGATGATCCTCAGGTCTGTCCTGGAACAAATTCCCATTTAAATTGTGTACAATGACAAGTTGCCCTGTTGTGGATTCCCCTGGAAGCTGAGCTTATTTAGAATGTGCCCAAGACAGGGATCTGTACTGTAGGGCTCACTGTTCATCACCAGCAGTATTTAGTTTCTTGATGATTGGAAATAAGCAGCTCCTGTCCCAAATGCCCATCTTGCCGCTTACATGACTTCTTGATTGCAGGTGGGTTTTTTGAGACCATTCTGTGTCCAGTTGAAATTCTGTGAAGACCACTGAGATTACTTAGGATAATCTCTCACAAAATGGTTATGCACAATTCCACATGTGGGAGAACAAAAGGAATCTTTGGGAAGTCTGATTCCATAACTCTGTCACTGATTATTCATGAACAGTGTTAGCAACACAAATAATGACATGTTTGCTGTAATGGGCTCTGTCTCACACAGCCTGCCATTTTAATTTGGCCTGTATGTTCGTCCAGGGCCACAACTTTGAGCTGTAGGAAGGTGAAGGATGATGTGAGACAGGACTGATTTATTTCTTTAAGGTGACACAAAGATTCTGATCGGTGAACACAAGTAATTGTTGGCATTGGCAGCTTTAGTGCCAGAAGTTACACTATAATTCCCAGACAGCATTTATTGAGGCTGTGCCAGAAGGGAATTATTTACTTTTTTGGGACTAGGTAGTTTTACTTGACTTTTACAGTCGTGCCTCGTCCATATAACATAACCAGCCATTATTCCACAGACTGAGAGAATTCTATCAGAAATCACAGCAGTATTGTTTGAACTACTGCTGCAGAAGTATTTCTTTAACGTGCTATTGGTGAATATTCTGTCTCACCTCTTCTGCCAGACTTGGTATCAATGTTTACATAATGGTAAGATACTCAGATCCGAATTTCAGAACAAAAATTGGGGCGTTTCTGTCATGTTTATTTAGCTTCTGATATGAAATCAGACTTGATTTTGCCCAACCCTAGCAGTGCAGACTGCACAGGTGTTCCTGGGTTTTGGCTGCCTTAGGTGCATTGCAGGTGGCAGCATCAGTTGAACACTCAGTCCTCCAGGTGCTCACACTGAATGGGCTGGCTCAGGATCATTCCTGCTTTATTTCCATTAGAACATGAACTTTTGGGACCTATAGGTGATAATAATTTGCTGTGCCTGGTTTCTCACTGCAGGACGCCTACAACATGGCAGAGCTGCAGGTGTCCCTCCAGGCCAGCCCAGCCTATTCCCTCTGCAGGAGGAAAGAAACCCGAATCCAGCGGAAAGGTGTCCTCGGCGCCGCGTCCCCCAGCTCGCAGGGCCAGCCCCGAGCAGCAGCCACTGCAGGAGCCGCTTTTCAAACCAGCACAGACTTTGGTCAGTACCTGTCAGGAGTGCTCAGAGAAGCCGACTGGCACAGCCAGGCCCTGCCCCAGGACTCGCTCCGGGTGTTCTGCACGGAGGGAGCCGGATCGGGAGCCGGCAGCCTGAGCTCCCTGAGCTCCGCGGGGCTGGAGGAAGGAACAGTCTATGATGACATCAAAGAGTGGGGACCAAAGTTTGAGAAGCTGAGTGAACTGTACTCACAGAGAGATGCAGGAGACCAGTAGATCACAAGTCTCCTATTTTCAGTTTTGGAAGCAAGGGTGATGTTTTTCATGCTGTTGCTCTGTACTACCCCTACCCTCCTTTTGACTTGTTACAACAGGGATTCAGATTCTCTCAAGAGCCTCACTTGGCAGCCAGTTCAAAAGTGTGAAGGACCTAATCTTGGGACACTTTGAACATTTATGCTTTTTTGATGTAAACTTACTGGGAAGAATAAAGGAGGAGTTGGGGTACTTAATCATTCACATACAGTGGTATAGAATTTTTTTCTGTCACTGAAGCACCACAGGACTCAGAGATGCCAGCATACAATGCCTGAGGTGTGCTCAGAGCCCGAGGGAAGTGTGCTGAGTGTGCTTCAGTCGGTGCTTTGGCAGTTATTTGAAGAAAAAACCACCTTGTCTTTTTGTTGTGCAGATCAGGTTGTGTTGTATCCCTCTTGTTTCTCGGAGTGAGCCCAGTGACAGCTCCCGCTCACTGAACATCCTGCAGGTGAGTCCACGGATCCAGGTAAAGGAGTGGACAGATGGATGGTGGTTTGAACTTCAGTTATAACGTTGTGAAATTTCTTTATCCTGTCATACAAATACAGAAGCTGCATTTAGGCACAACACATCCAGCCAGCTGCCTACAACTAAATACTTTTCCTAAGGAAAAGGCCAGGTGGGAATTTCAGTAGCAAACACTGCAGTTCACCATGATCTCTCAGTACTAATAGGCTACTGAACTGAGCCTGAACTAAAGAGCAGCGTGAACTGTGCATTATGCATCTGCAATCATGTCCCTCACGTTTTTCTAAACCTCCTTTGACAGAAGCATTGCAAGGATTAGGTTTGAGAGGCTGACACTGCCTGTTGTATAGAAACACTGACCAGCTACAGTTGTAGCCAAGTAATGCTGTGCCAGGAGGAGCTGACTGGGGACACAGATGCATTTCTGGTGAAGAAAAAAATCTGCATCCCTTGGAACTGTCCTGTCTTTAGGATGTCAGAAGAATGAAGGTCTGTCCTGTATCCAAAAAGAACTTCACACAGCACTGGGACTTCTGAAAAATAAAGTCCTGTGATAAACAAAAGTCTGGGACCAGAGAAACACAGGTAAAAACTAACAGCAGTAGCAGGGGATGGAATATTATGCTCTGAATTACCAGTCCCTTTTTCAGACCATTTAATGTCCAGCTACTATGCTAGATTTTTCTTAAACTTGACAATACTGGGCAGAGAGAAGATACCAGAAATTAATTTTGATTTTTTTTTTCAAGACCACTCGTACAGCTAAATGGAGTACAGTGCAGCAAGATCAAAATCTTAAGCTGTGCTGTTTATGTATTATATGTGAATTCTGTTATAATATGTAAACTATATATAATATGTACATTATATATTATCAGATGATAATATGGATATATCCTGGATTCTAATAATTCTAATAATGTTTCATTGAAACAAATCATGAAACAATGTATTGCAAAAGATATTAAAGCTGCTTTGCTCACAGTTGCATCAGTAGTGTGTTTTGGGAGGCTTTGTTTTTATTTTTATACTGTATTGAAAACCATAAACAGGTGAATGCTGTCTGCAGGCTGCCTTAACTTGCACGTTTCCCAAGAGAGACATGTTCACACAGTACCTTGTTCTCTTGTGCATTTGTGACACACTGGAAAATCCTGAGCACACCATTAACCACTGGTTACACACTGCACAGGGTGGGCATTTTCGTCTGGAAGAGCTAAATCCCAGTTTTACCTGTGCCCAGTGGTTCCAGTTCACAGCAGGTACAGAGCCTTCGATTTTGTAATTTTACTGACACGTTTGCCTGTGAGGAGACCTTGGCTGAAACATTTTCCAGTGTTCATAAATCTGGTGTGCCAGCTCCTGTATTTCGTGATCTCAGCAGTCACAAACAGGATATGGGAAATAAGTAAATCTATATTATGCACAAAAATCTATTCTTTCCCCCAACAGCAGTAATTTTGTCTGCATACCTTGTGTTCTTCCCCTACCTATGGACATGCTGTTGCTTTGGCTGGGGCCAAGACTGACTTCACTTGCTTGTGAAGTATCCTGCTTGTCTGAGGCACCATATAAATAATAAAACAGCCTTCTGTGCAGGGTGTCTCTGCCTCGCTTGTATTTAAGGTCGACTGAAGTGTGGACTCTGGAATTATTTCTCAGTTTTGATCAGATAGTTCCACAGCTGTGAGTCATGGGTGCTGTGCTGCCTGAAAAGCCTCTAACTGATGTCTGGACTCAGGCTCTGGTTACACACTCAAAGGATGTCACCACATCGGAGTTTTCTCCAGGGGGCCACAGCCCACCCTGCTCCCAGAGGCTGCGGTGAGGAGATCCTGGTCCCAGCTGTTACTCCAGCCCTGAAATACTGGACTGGTCCCTGGGTGAGACTGAAAACAAGCCCCAGCACAACTCTGTCTCAGGGTGCCTGAGAAACCCACGGGCAGATGGGTCACGCAGAGCAGCTGCAGAGCTGCTGAGGTTGAGATGTCTTAGCGCTGTTCCCAAATGTTGCTGCTTCCTCCCCCATTACAGCTGTGGCCCTAATTTGTAACCAAACATTAATAATAACACCCCCAGCCTCGGAGCTGCCTCTGTAATCACAGCCAGCCAGAATATAAAACAAAAGGGCAGGAAACATTTCAAAGCTGCTCTAGAAACTTATGTCGATACGATCTCAGTAATAGGACACACTCATTTGCAGCTGTCATGCCCTATTAAAGCCTACTCTTCCTCTTTCCAGAGACTACTAATTAATTCACTTAATTTATCTGTTTTAATTTGCATGCTGCTCTTTTAATTACAGTGCAATTGCTGAAATCATATCCTCACTTGTTCTGCATTTACACAGACACACACAAATATGTCAGTGCCTCTACAGAAAGGCTTATCCCAGCACTGCCATGGCTCCTGGAGAGAACAGCTGGCTGCCCATGGAAAGCTGTGCAATGGGTCAGGGGGGATGAAAAAACATGGAATAAAAAAAAATCACTGGGTCCCTAGGTACTGGGATTTTCAGTAATCTGGTACTTTTATTAATCTTCTTCCATGTTCTTTACAGACTTTAAACATGTTGTAAGAACATTTTATTTAGTATAAAGTATTTGTTAAGGTCTGAAATTTAAATAATCATGTGGATATTAGTATTTAATCTGTCTGCCTGTCAAATACATTAATCTTTGTAGTATTCCTCTGTTAAAATAATGTTCCAAGTATAACATGGACCCAAGCCATGTGAAAGCTGATTGTCCTTAGGTCTGACCGACTGACCAGCAGGTTTAGAAGGGAAAACATGGCTGCAAAGGAGCAGGATTAGGTGAGCAGAAGAAAGGTGAGCATTTTGTTAATTACAGGAATGATAAAACCCATGCTTAGGGATTTAAATGAGGTTCTCTGGAGCCAAAATCCCTTCTATGCAAGCACACACAATGGGACATGTGGATCACATCCCATAAATTAAATAAATCTCACAGTAGTCCAGTCTCTACCTAATTAACACTGGTGACAAACTCCCCCAAGCCCCCTTTAGAGTCCTGCATGTGGGAGGCTGTGACTGCCCTCAGGCACCACAGGTGAGACAAAGCCATTCCAAGCAATTGCACCTCCAGCTCTGCACATCCCACTGCTCCTGCCACAAGACTCCTACATCAGGACATCCCATTTCACGTAAAGCCCTTGATAATGTGCTTTTTCACTCCCAAAAAATTCATGTTTCTCTTCATTAAGAACACTAAACTTGACCTACATCGTGGTCAAAGCGAGTTGTACTTATTTAACTGGAGAAACTGCCTCAGCCTCCTGACCTTGCTGGAGTTAATGTGTGTTGGGTGATGACTAGTGAAAATCAAGGCTGGCACCTTTAACTTGTACCAGAGAAAGGAAGCCCAAGCTGTTAAACATAAAGGTGATTCCAAAAGTCAGTGATAAACACGATGTAATGAGCTCAAGAAAAGTCAAAACTTCCTGCTGAAAAATATTTTGCTTTCCTCAATATGGACTGAAACAGAGATGATTCCCTAACCAGGCCCTTCTCAATCCATCCCAATACAAAGACAAGCAAAAAGTGATTTTCAAATTACACAATTTATTTAGTATACAATAGTCATTACATCTCTTTACAACAACGTATTATAAAATAACTATGTTAGATCTCACCAGCAGAACACTGAAACAAAAAATGAAAATACACTTATGGATCTCAAAGGCTTTTCTCCCCTAAAAACATTCTGGCCCCTTGATAACATTTTGTCTCTGCAATCTAAAAAAAGTATCAGTCCCACTGATAATGTGCAGCTTGAAAGTCCTCGAGGACACCAAGAACACACATGTCATGTCCCTGCCATTCCCACTGCTGGTAAGACTTGGCACATGCACTGCCAGGAGGGTTGTTCCTGGGGGTGGATCATCCCTAATTGACTGGGACAGTGATGTAGGGCAACCACTTGGAAATAAGGTGCATCAGAGTGGTGTCATTCAGGCATACATAAGAGTTATTTTAACAAAACCTGCACATTCTTAATGCAGTGAATACAGATCACAGCAAGACACGGGAAGTAGATAAAATAATTATCAATTAAAACACCACCCACCTGTGGCAGTGGGAGGTACAGCCCCTCTCACTGCATCCCTGACCCCTCCCAGCTGGCTCTGCCCCACCAGCCAGCCTTAAACAGGGGCAGGGAAGTGCTGTGCCCTCTCCCCCAGGGCTGGCTTGGTGTCCTCCTGCTCCTCTGAGCTCTGGTAAGTGCTTTTGTTCCTTGGCATTCTTGGATTTACTGTTTCAGGGAGGTTGGTGTCTGAATGCTGCGCTACAGTCCCTGGAATATCCCTTGGTGTTAAACCTTTCTGATAATCGGTCTTTCTGTTTAAAAACCAAACCAATGTGCACTTGGTAGTTTCTATGAAAAGGTTAAATTTCTCCTTTGGCAACATTAGAGATGGCAGTTTTGAACCAAGTCTGTTTAAAAATAATTATTGTTACAGTCAGGACTTCTTAATCTCCGTTGTTACCTATAAGTAAATTCTGAAAAGCACAGGGTACCACTGGGCCTGGGAGTCCCTCACCTCCATCAGAGGAAAGTTACTGCCCTGTTCCAGAAAGATCCAATTGCATTTTGGAACAAGGCAGCACAGCCCAGACATAACTTTATCCTTCCTGTGCTTGTTTTCAATTCCTGAAGGCGCTCATTGAGGGATTCACTGACCCGGGCTTGCAGCAAGAACAGCCATGCATCATTACAGGCCTAATTAAAGTTTTAATACTGATTAAAATGTTTTATTATTGTATTATGTTAAACTGCAGTGGTCTCCAACCTCATTAAGGGATACAGGCTAGGAATTACTCGGGAGTTTCAGCTGCTGAGTTTAACAGCCCAGCTCCTGTCAGTGTGTGATTTAACACACCCTGACTACAGCACACTCGCCTTTTGTGTCAGCGAGAAATGCAGGAAGATGTTGAACATTGTTTAATGAGTATTTACTGAATATAAAATTGTTTGAGCATGTGACATAACCATTTCCATCTCTCTGGTAATTTACCTTGGTACAACTGAAAAGGAAAAACACTTAAATCACTTGGAATTGGAGCCCAGCTCAGTTGTGAAAGCTAATCTCATTACACATCTTGATTGAATTAAATGTGGAGTTTGCTATCTGTAGCACTTTCAGTTTCCCATCATTAGAAATTAATTGCAGTGGTAATTACTATAACTGAGTTATTTGCAAGGCCACAAACACTCTTATAGGTGTTCAAATGTTAATTCAACCTGGGTCTAGAGGCACTTGATTATTACAATTGTGTTCTTCACAAGAAACAAATGATCCTGGTGGATGTCCAATTCAAGATGGAGAGACTTCCAGATTTAATCTCTAATTTCAGTCTAAAACCAAAGAAGTGGTAAAACACAGCAAAAGCCATGTACCCCCATAGCATTTTTAAATTCAATACAATTCACAAAGTTCTTGCTGGTAAAAAGACAACGGATACAAACAAATCACAAAGTTCTCAGCATTGAGGACTGGCTTCACTTAATCTTCCAAGTATTTTAAAATACTGGTAGTCTCTTGTTTTAGGATAAAGAGCAAGGATGCAATGATTTTGTGCTAAAATACAGAGCTTTGTGTCTGAAATAACATAAAGCAAAGCTCCAGTAGCTGAACCTATTTTAAATACCAGATTTTCCTGCTGATTTAGGGAGGAGTTTTTCTTTTGTATGGTTGGCAGTGTTCAATTTTGATATCCTACTGGGATTCTCGTGGGGAGAAAAAGGATCCCCTGGAGTTCAGAAAGTATATACAGAAAATAGTGGTGTGAGAATGCAAATTGAGAAATTTGGGCTTTTGTCTGTTCTGAGCACTTTATGAGGATACAAACATGCAACATGTATCAAGCATGCTCCAGCCTTTAGTCTCACTAGAAATACGTAACAGTCCATCATTTAACACTTAATCTTATAAAACAGTATGTCTCTGATCACTAAAAATGCTGGACAAAGGATTAAAGTTTTACTCTTCAAACTTGTGTGGCGGAATCTGCACTCACTGATTCTGCAATCACACTCTCAAGCTTGGAAACTCATATCTGCACACATTCCCAAAGAATTCAAAAAAGAGGCACTGAAAGAGCAAAAGGATCTGTCAAAGAGGATCAGACTGTGAGACAAAACTTAATTCTGTGACCATTTTCAGGATTCACAAAGATAATGCATACTCAAAATAGGAGTAACATGGGCTGCTTTCACTAAATTTCTATTATTTTATAGTAAAAATCTGAATTGCTGAACAGATTTGCAGGCTGGCACTGG